AAAACCATCTTTTTTGGAGAATGGGGAGGGGATTTTGAAAAAGATGGTTTTTTGGTTTCGCCTCGTAAAAAGATGGTTTTCCATAGCAAAACCAACTTTTCCCACGTAAAAAGATGGTTTTGGTCTGGTCTGCCTCAGGAAAACAATCTTTTTACGAGGGAAAAGTTGGTTTTTGGCTCCAAAACCCTTTTTTTACGAGGTAAAAGTTGGTTTTTGTGTCCAAAACCATCTTTATACGTGGGAGAAGTTGGTTTTTGCTATGGAAAACCATCTTTTTACGAGGCAAAACCAAAAAAAACATCTTTTTCAAAATCCCCTCCCCATTCTCTAAAAAAGATGGTTTTTTTGGTTTTTTGGTTTTGCCTCGTACCTCTCTCGGGCCGGAACCGTTCAGCTCTACATGTAGCTATGCTTGGAGGCTCGTTGGTTTTTGTCAGTCTTATATTAATCTCAGCAATAGCATTCCTATTCCTATTAATGTAAAAGGGTTCCTAACCATCTTTATAGGACTTCTTTTCATTTTACTTATATTCTTATGAACTTTCAGAAGGCTCTTATTCAACATCAGAGGATTCCTAATACTTTTCAATAGGGTTCTTATGCATTTCAACAAGGTTCTTAATCATTTTCAAGTGGCTCTTTTAATTCCAACAGGGTTCCTCTGAAATTAAAAATCTTTTTGAGATTCATATTGGTGCCTATTCATTTTAATGAGTCTCCAAGTAATTCTAATGGTATTCTTAGAAAATTGAATAGCATTCCTCGTCCTATTAATTCTAATAGGAATCACATTAAGTCTAACAGGAAGCCAAGAAATTTTAAAAAGGAACCACATTGAATTTTGTAGGATTCCTATTGGTTCCTATTATTTTTAGTAGGGTTCCTCTTCATTTTAAAAGGATTCCTATCAATTGGTAATAGGGTTCTTAAAAATTTTACTGGGGTTCCTAATATATCCGATGAACGTCAAAGGGTTCCTGACCATCTTCATGGGACTCCTCTACCATCTCAGAATATCCTTATGAATTTTCATAGGGTTCTTATTCAATGTAGAAGGATTGCTAATACGTTTTTGTAAACAGGGTTCTTATGAATTTCAACAAGGTTCTCAATCATTTTAAAGTGGCTTCTTTTAGTTTCAATAGGGGTCCATCTGAAAATGAAAAGGGCTCATACTTCTTTTTAGGATTCCTATTGGTTCCTATTCATGTTTGCAAAGTAATTGGAATGGTTTTTTCTGGAGGTTTGAATAGCATTCCTGTCCCATTAATTCTAATAGGAATCACATGAATTCTAACAGGAAGCCTAGAAATCCGAACCACATTTATGTTTATAGGATTCCTATTGGTTCCTATTAATTTAGTAGGATTTCTCTTCATTTTCAAAGGATTCCATTAGGGTTCGTATGATTTTTAGTGGTGTTGCTTATAAATTCTATTTGATGGTAGGACCCTCTTCATTTAAAAGATTCCTCTTAATTTTTAAAAGGGTTCTTATGAATTTTAGTGGGGTTCCTCATGAATTGAATAGGATTCTAATTCATCATAACAAGATTAAGAGAAATATTAATAGGATTCCTTTTTGGATTTAATGGAATTCCCACATTCCCGTGAATTCAAAAAGGGTCCCTTGTCATTTTCACAGGCTCCCTACTTACTATTCTTCATGGGGGCCCTATTGTTTTTCTACATTTTAATAGCATTCCCATGACGTTTGATAGTGAGTTCCTCTGACTCAGATATGATTCCAAGTCATTATTCCTATTGATTCAATAAAGAGTCTTATTAATCTTAATAGGGTTCGTATGAATTTCATAGCGTTTTCGTTCAATTAAAGGGTTCTTATTAAATTCATAGCTATGACTAAGTATGGATTTCTTACTCCGACACGGCCTCACGGTAGGTCATGGCGGGGGGGTGTGAGCACACATATATATATGTATACATATATATATATGTGAATATATAATCACAATCACACGTCGAAAACAAAATTGTAGAAAGAGAATGAAACATCACACACACACACACACTCACACGCACACACGCACACACCGATGCCCGTGACAAACGGCATTAATGAATTGGCACCAGCCGTGAGGTGCCATCGCAAACCATACTACGCTGATGCAAGCAGCAAGTCAGCAAGCCATGCCCGCGTGATCGCATTGCATCACAAGCCGCTCCACATGCCGTTCCACACAACAAATCGTACACCCCGTTATTGTGCAACGTCGACACTTCTCCGCAAGTCCTGACGTTCTCACGCGAGTGCAGGCAAAGGGGAATGTATCAGCTATTTGCAAGCGGCAACGAATCTGGCATCCACTGCTGTTCCGACCGCTATTCAAAGAGGGGGGGTAATCGGGGACCCAGGCGCGATGACCAGGGACGATTCCAGTGCAGCGGCAGCATTGTCATCAGTGCCCCTACCGTGGCCAAACATTTGCTGCGCCGACACCGCAAAAAGACGGAATTCTCTCATAGGAAGCCGTCGCAAGCAGGCTGCCACCAACGCCAGAGCGCTAGCTGTGGCTTAGAGGGAGGAAAATGTCAGCTTTGTACGAAGGCGGAGGCCAAAGTCGAATCAGCTACGGTCAAGCCATCAATGGAAGAACACTAAGCGGTGGCAGTTAAGTAAGACAACCCTCAAGGCAACCCTAGGTATTATTTCTCTTTACCGCTCACTCGGCCGAATTCTTCTGCGAGTCCGGACGTCCTCGCTCCAAATTGGGGAGAAAGGCCTGCCAAACATCATAGCACCTTCTTATGCAAGACTTGCGTTCCTGTCTTTGCAGCGGCGAGCCAGGGCTGAGAAGACAACTTTGAAATGCTTGTGTTCATTCTCGATCGCTGTAGTTGGCAATTCAGCAAGTAAGAAAGAATGGATGGCCGGCCAATGTCCATGGTGTAGTGCCCTGACATAGAGCCAGGTTCGCCTGACCTCCCTTGCTTGCGTGTTGGAGGCGGCAGAGTCTTGAAACCGCAAGAACGGAAGCTCCATCAATTATTGCGTTCTGACATAGAATACCTCATAAGTGCTCATGGATGTTGCAGCAATTCGGCTGCACACACGAAGAGAGATCGGCAACGCAATGAAGTAGTGATTGCCAGTCTCGCTGACCACCAACGTTTGCAGAAGACTGCATAATGCCACACAACCAGACATGCACGCGGGCTCAGCTTTCCTGAGGCGGCCTCACCAACCGCTTCTCTGACAGGCTTCTCTGGCGGCATCGCCCCCATTAGCTCAATCTAGCGCTGTCGAATCTTCTCTCGCGAGGTCATGCTGCTTGTGTCCGACTGGCAATGACTAGCGTGGCAAGATTAAGGTTCTGTGCTGCTGCTGCTGCTGCTGTTGGTGGCACGCCAACAGCGCTCGCATGTCTTCAGCGAAACCTCTGTGGATGAGCTCTTTTGCAGATCTGCCGGATTCGCGTCACCGCGTATTCCGTGTACCTTGATGGCTTGTTCCTGCAGTTGTTGTTGTCTACATGTGTCGTGTTTTTCTTAACCCCTCTGGTTTAGAGATTGCACAGGCGGACTCTGAGTTCGCAGTAGATCCACGGTGCGGTCCGAAAGTCCGAATGCGTGGGCGACGGTATGTCTGAGGGCTAGCCTTTCTTTGGCCCTCTACCAATCCGTACAGCTCTACTTTAGCAGAACAGCGCTACGCCGCTGCGCTCGCTTGTAACCTTGACCACACTTTCAGGCATACTGACCCAAAGAGAATGCAACCTCCGCTGATGGATCTTCTGTTTCTGCACTGCGGAGCCCGTTTTTAAACCGCAAAGCATCTCTGCTGATGATGTCGGGAAAGATATTCTTAGCTGTAAAGCCAACGCCCCGTGATTAAAGTCTCTTGCCACAATTCTGCATCGTACAAGTGCATTCTCTTTGCTCTCGATTCTCTTTTGCTTTGCGGCACCAACCCATCTAGTGGATGTCACCTTTGTCTTGCTGTCTGCTGACCACGTGCAAAGCATTCCAGCCACGGAAACTGCAGACGCCTACGCGAGCGCCCTACTGACGCTGTGGCCATCTTGGCCCTCTGGCGGGCCAGGGCTAGAAGCCCCCCAGGGCTGGAAGGGGGTCGCGGAGGTGGCAGTGGCAGGCTCTTTGGGCCCTCCCCCTTCAGCGAAGGGGGGCTTCAAGGGGGGCTTCAGGGGGCTTCAAGGGTCCCCCTTGGGTCCCCCTTGAAGGGAGCGCGAAGGGGGCTTCGACTTTCGTAAAAGGGGTTCAAAGGGAGACTTTTTGGAAGTAAAGAGCGGGGGGGTTGGGGGGGGCGCAGCCCCTCCCATTTACTTCTTGTAGGGAAGGGAACGTATTTTAAATTCCACCCCCGAATCTTTTTTGTTTTTTGTATTTCATTATTCGAAAAATCCGTGGAGAAGAGAGAAGGGAAGTTATTCTAAATTCTACGCCCCTCGAATTTTTTTGTTTTTTGTATTTCGTTATTCGAAAAATCAAGGGAGAAGAGAGAAGGGATTTTAGTTTAAATTCCACCCCCCTGAAATCTTGTTTTGTTTTTGTTTTTCATTGTTCGAAAATCAGAGGAGTGGAGACTTTTTACGACGCAATCACGTACAGTAGCATGTTTTTGGCTTGAATATGTTTTTTTGTTGTGGCACGGGCTCGGCCAAGAACCCCATGTCTTGTAGCGGGAGGCTAGGGGAAGCGGCTTCGGCCTGCGAGTGCCCGACGCCTCCCATCTCGAGTGCGTGGCAAGGGGCTAAGCCGAAAACCCCATGTTTTCTAGTGGAGGCTAGGGAGGCTGCAAGGGGGGGCTTCAAGGGGGGATCAGAGGAAGCTGCAAAGGGAGGTTTCAAGGGGGGCTTGAAAGGGGGGTTTGAGACGCGGGCGTAAACGGCGCGAAGGGGACTCTGCTCATCCCCACATGGGGTTGAGAGGGGCCGGGGGTTGCCTGCCCCGCGGGCTCTGGCGCGCCTGGACCAGGAGGTACATCGTTACTCGTTGTAGAGTGGCATTGTGCCCCCGTTCATGTCCTTGATGCTGGGCCAAGTACAGCCGGTCCCCTCTTGTTTCTTTCTTTGGCTCATCGGGGTTCCTAAGCAACCTCGGGGCCACTTGTCCTTGTTTCGCGCCTCAGTCAATGCATCGAGTCGCGTAGTGCCCGTGGCGCAGGGCTTTTCTCCCACACGTGGTTTTTCCCTGAGTCGTGGTGCGCGAAGAAGGCCCAGGTACTAGGCCTCTTAAACTGCTCCCGGAAACCCGTACAGGGAGCAGTTTAAGAGGCCTCATAACTGGGCCTGCTTCGCAGAGGTTTCAGGAAGCAGTTTAAGAGGCCTACTAACTGGGCCTTCTTCGCGAGGTTCCAGGGAGCAGTTTAAGAGGCCTAATAACTGGGCCTGCTTCGCAGGGGTTTCAGGGAGCAGTTTAAGAGGCCTAATAACTGGGCCTTCTTCGCGAGGTTCCAGGGAGCAGTTTAAGAGGCCTAATAACTGGGCCTGCTTTGCAGGGGTTTCAGGGAGCAGTTTAAGAGGCCTAATAACTGGGCCTTCTTCGCGACGTTTCGGCAGCAGTTACTGGGCCTTCTTCGCGACGTTTCGGCAGCAGTTTGAGAGGCCCACTAACTGGGCCTTCTTCGCGAGGTTCCAGGGAGCAGTTCAAGCGGCCTAATAACTGGGCTTGCTTCGCACGGGTTGCAGGGAGCAGTTTACGAGGCCGAGCACCTGGGCCTTCTTCGCGACGTTTAGGCTCGCGTCTCAAACCTCCCCTTCTGCGATTTATCTACGGTAAGTAGCTTAATTACCCAACACTCCGAGGGCTTGAGCTAAAGGCTACCCCTACGCTGTATAGAAACCCACTGCGCAACCGCAGCCCTTTTGAGGCTTCAAGCGAAGAGAAAAAGGAGTGTCCTACCCTGAGCCCAGTAGGACCCCGAAACAGCCTCTGAGCTTTCGCATGGTAGCGGAGCTCTGCTGAGCCCAGGGCCAGCATCTCCGAGCGGGCAGCCCCGCAGGTCTGGAGCACCTGCCTTTGCTGTCTGCGGGTAGCACCGCCCTGCAGGTGCAAGCAACGGTCACCGGGGACCAGAAACCCGGGGAAAGCAGCACTAGGCTTTGAAGCTTAGTGCGGGTAGACCCGCCTAGAGGTCTAACCTTCGGCACCTGGGCCGACAAACCAGGACCACAGGCCGAGCCAACCGGGCCGGTCTTCACCTCTGGATTTGCCTAGCTTTGTGCGGGTAGATCCGCCCTAGTCTTGCAGCCACGTCCGACAGGGACTGGCACGACTGGGGTTGGAATCGGGACCAGTCTGGTTCCTGGTGGGACAACCACCAAGCCGAAGCTGACCAGCACTGGGACTGGCAGCAAGAGGTCTGGCAGCAAGAAAGCTGGACCGAAAACACAGGCCAAGCCGAGGACCCCTGGGCCGGCTGGTCAGGTGTGCATTCGTGGGTGGAGGCACACCCGGTGCCTGAACCCAGTGCACCTCCGCGTAGTCGCAGTCCGCGGCATCGCAGTGAACCTGCAGCTTCCAGTGCGGGTAGACCCGCCAAACCAAGGGGAAAGTCCTGGTGGGAACGTCCCCCGCCCAAGTGGGTGTGGGACGAGAGCAACCAACGCTGGAAGCGCAAGAACCAGCGGGGAAAACGCTCACCTGAAAAGGTTGAGGAACGTATCCAGCGCGGACAAGAGCGACGAGCAGCCAGCTCGTCAGCAAAAGTCGCGCGGGTAGAACCGCCTCAGGAGGCGGAGACCTCGACTGAGCCAGGTGAGCCAGTCGTTCTCACCCCAGCGCCGGCAGCAGCCGAGCCAGCGGGTAGCCCCGCGGAGGGTCACTCAGAAGCCTCTGAGTCCGAATCCTCCTCCAGCTCGTCAGTCAGCACCATCGACTACGAGACTGGAAGTCTGCCCGTGCAGACTGAAGCGGCAGCAAGTGCAGCCGCAGAAAGAATTCGGGCCATTAAGCTCGAAGGGGATCCGGGCGAACCGGAAGGACCCCACGCCCCATCTGCAGGGGTGAAGAGCGAGGATCCGAACGAGGAACCCCTCGCAAGTGCGGCGGCCAAAGCCGCATCTGAGCTCCGAGACTCCTGGATCTCAGTGAAAGAGGAGGTTGACTATAGCCCCTCGGACACTCCAGGAGCGGGTAGCACTGCCGCAGCAGAAGCTGCGGAACACAGCCCGGAAGCGGGCAGCCCCGCCGCAGCCGAAGCTGCGGTACAAAGCTCCTGGGTGGAAGTCCAGGAAGCAGCAGACAGCTGGGAGCACGATCCCAAGCCCACGCCTCTCGAAGATGGCGATGGCTGGGACGACACAACTCACCGCTGAGGAGGTGAGCAGGCAGCTCACGGGACTCACTGACGCCCTCCGAAGGGCAGAGGAGGCCCACCGTGGGTTGCAAGAGCAGCTGGCTCAAAGCCAGCATCGCACCCAACTGTTGGAGCAACAGCTCCTGGAACTCCAACAGGCGGGTAGCACCGCCGCGGGTGGCACCGCAGCCAGCAGAGCAGCGGCGGCCGCAGCGGTAGGTAGCGTTTCACCCCAAGGACTGTTAGGCTTAGCAGCACCGCTGAAAGGGGTAGACTTACTTAACCAAGCCATTAAACCCCCCAAACCCTTAAAGGGAGTAGAAGATTGGGAAAGGTTTGTGTGGCAAGTTGAAACCTTTGCTGCACTCGTGGACGAAAGTTTTCCAGTGCACTTAGAGGAAGCCAGAAAGAGTCAAAGTGACAACACACCGACCGAAGAGAGCGACGAATACCGAGCTCTCTCAGTCAAACTGTTCGGGATGCTGGTATCGCTCATCGCTGAATGCCCAGCTGCATTGAAGATTGCAAGGGGCACGAGAAACCAAAATGGATTCGTCCTGTGGCGAATGCTGTGGCGAGAGTTTCATCCCGAGCAGGCCAACAGAGGTCTCATTTGGAGACGAGCCCTGCTTTCGCCGAAGTTTCCAAACAAAGAGGGCGACTTTAGTGCAGCTCTTCAAGAATGGGAGCTGGATCTCGCGAAGTATGAATCCGAGTTTGGAGCCGAAAAGGCCATCTCAGATGAAGACAAGCGAGCGCTACTTATGGTCGAATCGCCCCAGGCCCTGAAGCAGCACTTGGCAATGCATGCTTCGTCGCTAGGATCGTACGATGAGGTTCGGGCTGTGGTAGTCTCATACCTGCAAGCAAAAAGGGTGTGGACACCGTCGGGTGGTTATGCTCAGTCAAGCCGCCGAGCAGCTCACGATCCCGATGCCATGGATATTGGCAAAGTCGGCGATGCCAAAGGCGATAAGGGGAAAGGAAAAGAAAAGAAGGGCAAAGGAAAAGACAAAGACCCCAAAGGGGGGAACAAACCCGAGAAGGGTGGAAAGGGCCAAGACAAAAGAAACCAGCAACACAACCAGCAGAAAGAAAAGGAGAAGTGCCCCATATGCTGGCGAACTGGGCACACAGTGAAAGACTGCTGGTACAATGTGAAAGGAAAAGGCAAAGGAACGCCAAAGGGCGGAGTAAACGCTGTTGCTGACGACGCTTCGTCACAGCTCTCAGCGGGTCCCTCCGCTTCCCAGGCGGGCAGCGCCGCGACTACGGCAAAACCTGGTGTGAGACACATCTCGGATGAGCCTATGCGAGTGCTAGCTGTGCGGAACAACGACCCCCGCCAAGGACACCTCCTGGTGGATACTGGTGCCGCTGTTTCCGTTTGCCGCCCGGGAACCTTTTCCAGTAAACTTGACCCGAAAGGACAAATGGCTCTGTACAGTGTGGACGACACGCCGCTCAACACCCTAGGCGCCACGGAACCTGTGCTGCGACTAGGCGGGGACCACCGCCAGAATGCACGAACCACGTTTCAAGTGGTTGAAGGTATCACAGATGACATTCTGTCTGTGAACCGAGCGGTGGATGCTGGAGCGCGGGTTGTGTTCCACGCGTCAGGCTCGCACATTGAGTGGGCTGACGGCTCACGAGCCGATTTCGTCCGAAGTGGGAAACAATTCCTGCTACCTTACGCGGAAATGGCCAAACCCAGCAAGCACGTGACCATAGCGGCCGTTGAGGATTTTCCCGACGACCTGGAAGCTCAAGCGGTCGAGGAATTCGCTATCGCTGAAGAACAGCGGGAGGCAGAAGCCGCGCAGGCCGAGGCAGCAGCTGCCGAAGCCAATGAGGGTGAAGGCGAAGAACGCCAGGACCTTGAAGCGGTAGCCCCGCCGGCGGATCCCGAACCGAACGAGGAAAGCGCACCACCGCAGAAAGAAAGACGCGGGAGAAGGCGCATTGGAAGCGACGGTCCAAATGGACTACACCTTCTACTCGCGAGGGGCGCAGCAAAGGCTCGCGCCGGAGAACGAGTCTGTTCTCGTCACGGTGCTGACGCTGGTTGACCGCGACACCGGCTGGCCGTGCAGCGTACAGGTGCCTAGAAAAGGTCAGGAGTGCGGACCATTTGTGTTGGACGCAATAGAGCTCTACCTGAACAATTTGGGACACAAAAGAGTGATCCTGCAAATTGACCAAGAAGGAGCGTTGAGAAACGTTGCTGTGGCTGTAAGAAACCGGATGGGGGCACACAAGGTTCGAGTGCGGGAGTCACCGCCGTACTCGCACCAGAGCCAGGGCGCCGTTGAAGGCGAACACCGCCAACTCGCAGGTTTGGTACGCACATGGCTCATGGACCTCCAGAATCGGTACCCCAACTGCATGGTTGACGTCAATCATGTGGTGTTTCCCTGGCTAGTCAAGTACGTCGCCTGGTCTGCGGCGAGGTTTCAAGTGAGAACCGCCGACAAAATGACCGCGTACAAGATAGTCAATGGGGTAGAATACTTGAGCCCCATATGCAAATTTGGGGAAACAGTCATGGCAAAACTTCCGAAACCAGGCACCAAGGCGCAACGCCGTTGGATACGTGGGATATGGGTTGGTCGTCTGGAGCGCGACAACACCAACATTATACTCACGGAGGCTGGGGCATTGAGTGTGCGGTCTGTCCGCCGTTTACCACCAGACGCGCAAGCCAACAGAACCCTGATGGGGACCGTAGCTGGCGTGCCATGGGCACTTCGACAAGGAAGGACGTTGCGGCAAGCACCCGCCCTGCAGGCGGAACCTTTGGTGCTGCCAGCACCGCCACTCATGCAAGCCGAAACCGAAGGCGACCACGTGGAGCAAGAGGGCGCAGCGCAAATCCCCTCAATGGCCCACGATGGACCCGAAGAAAGAATGGACAAAGACGCGTTGGATGTTGAAGGCGCCGCAGCCGCGGAGAGCCTCGAACCACGCGAAGACATGGACGTTTTCGATGGCGACACCGGCGCGGGAGTTCTCGTCTCACCCGAAGAAACCGCTGAGGCTGAAGCTATTCGAAATGCAGCGCCACCGAGTCCCACAACGTCGGATGGCCCATCCGCAGAAAGCGCGGGAGCCGCCGCCGGATCACCTAGAGCACCAGCAGGGATGGCTTATCCCACGGGGCTGGGCGAAGGGGGGCTGGCGACCAAGCGTTCAGGCACAGCGCCACCTGCGGAAGAGACCAGGCCACCAAAGCAACCCAAAGCCGAAGCCAAGAAGTCCCAACGTGTAGGCAAACTACAGGCGCAAGATCTGTGGAAAAAGGTGGAGGAATGGGCCAATGCGGACGACCCCGCTGTAGCGCAGCAGAGGCTCGCCACGGTGATGGAATACCTCGATTCCGTGCCCGACCCACAGCAGATCCAGAAAGCACGCGAAGAGCAACTTTGGAAGCTCTGGCGGCTGAACGCCTTCACACCGGTGATGCGATGGGACAAGCCGGCAGACGCCCAGACCTTTCACTACAAGTGGGTGGACAAGGTGAAAGACGGCGTGTGCAAAAGCAGGTTTACCTGCGCCGACACACGACGATCCTATACCCCAGAAATGGAGCAGGACATGCGTGTCTTTGTTCCTACCCCTACTCCTGAAGCACACGCCCTGCTCGAAATAACGGCTCTGCAAAGAGGCTGCGCCATGAGAACCTTCGACATCGTTGCTGCTTTCCTGATCGGCAAGGACCGAGGGGCGCAGAACGAAAACTGGGTCTACATGCGACCGCCAGCCGAGTGGAAGCCCATTTTCGACCAATGGGTGCGGGAGCAACCGCCGTCTGAGCAGTCCAAGCTCAGAGGACAATTTGCTGACATGCTGTTCAGGCTCGATGGAAATTTGTATGGTCGAAGAACAGCTGGCTCCGTGTATCGAGACGAACTGGAAGAGCTGTTATGCCACAAATTGTCACAGACCGGCCGGTATGCTTTCAAAAGAGGGGTAAAAGATCCATGCATCTACAGATGCATGAAGACAGGTATCATAGTGGTCCATCACATCGATGACGGAAGATGTGCGGGGAACGCCGCCCTGCTGAACACCTTCCTGGACGAGGATATGTGCAGCCACTGTGAAATCACCACCGGTCCTCTTGAGGCCGAAGGTGTATCGGTAGAAGTTTTGGGGAAAACCAAAACACGCTTAGAGGGCTGCATCCTGACAGCCCCAGACGCAAAGCATGCTCGAAACATCATCGAAGCACTCGGTCTGAAACCCGGAGAGAAATCTCCAGTACCTTCTCGCAAACCCGATCTCTCGGACGTGACGCCGTTGAGTGCGGGGGATGCCGCCAAATACCGATCCGCTGTGGGGTCCGGAATTTACCTTTCGGCCGACAGACGTGACATTCAGTATGCGGTGAAAGAGTTGGCGAGGCATATGGCCGAACCCAGACAGTGCGACATGCAACAAGCACGACTGCTGGGAAAATACCTGCAACAAGCGCACGACCTTGTTCGAGTCACTGCACTCGACCCAAGCGCGTACGAAGGGCCCATGACGCTCGACGTCTTCAGCGACAGCGATTGGGGAGGATGTGTTGAAACCCGGCGATCCACAGATTGTCATGTGGTGGTTCTGGGAGGAGCAATTGTCGCCACATCCACGCAGACCCAGCCGGGATTGCCTGCCACCAGCAGCCCTGACGCTGAGTTAAGAGGCATCAGCCGGGCCTGTCGCGAGGCCATCTTCGTACACGAACTGGCGACTATGGATTTTGGGCTGGAGGTGGAAATCCCACGCCTGTGGTCAGACAGCTCCACTGGCATCACAGCCGCAAAACGCATAGGGCCAGGAACCAAGCTACGCCATCTGGACGTGAGCGAATTCTACGTCCAAGGGGCAGTGCAGGCCGGGAAAGCGCTGTTGCGAAAAGTCAAAGGAACTGAGAATCCGGCGAATTTTCTCACCAAGCACCCAAAGTCCGGAAACGAAGTGCTACAAGCTTTACCCTCGTTGGGCATGGTGGACCCCAAACATGTTGCGGGCGCCACCGCCCAGGAGAAACACACGGTGAAGTTTGTGCGGGTGAATCCGCCTACGAGCTGGAAACCCGTATTTCCGTTCAAGCCTACGCTCGCAATCGCGGGTATCACTATGGCTTCACAGATCTTAGGAGTGAAGGCCCAGCCAAGGGAGAAAGAATTCCTAGAGCTGGTGCTGGATGCCATTTTGTGGCTGGGACTCCTGGGATGGTTTGTTTTGCTCTACCACATGGTGAAGGGCACTGTGAGGGGAACTCTGGCTATATACAGGAGGGTGAACCGACACCGGCAACATGAAGAAGAGCCGGAACCGGAAGCGTCGGAGGACGAAGCTCCAACGCAGGCCGCGGAAAACGCGCCACCTCCACTCGAGGACTTGTTCCGAGAGGGAGTGCGGGCACCTCCGCCTCGGGACCTGCGACCCCCAGCTCCTGAGCCGGAACCTCCAGAGGTGGGCCAACAGGCAGCAGCTTCTGCCTTGCCACCGCAACCCGCACAGGGAGATCAGCAGCGACGAGCACGTCGAAGAACTAGACCACAGGTACCCCGGAGAGAACCAGGGGAGATCTACTATGCGCCTTGCCGAAGGACAGCGCATGTATTCCGTAACTGCTCTGGGCTAAGTTCAACCCAGCAGCAAGACATCGTGGTCGAACAGTTCTGTGCCTACTGCCTGGAAAACTTTCCCAGACACCTCAGGCTCGAGAACGAACCTCGGGTATGGGTGACAGGGACGAATCTAAGGGCGCATATCTTTCAGAATTGCCCTGAACTCCAAGGATGGCAGAGAGCGATTCCGATGTGCAATCACTGCAGTTTGAGACACATCTCGCGAGATCCCTGAGCGGTAGTCCCGCCAAGCGGGCACCACCGCTGGTCAGGATGACCAGCAAATCCAAACAATGCACAACCCTCTGAGGTTGGAGGGGGGTGCGATTTATCTACGGTAAGTAGCTTAATTACCCAACACTCCAAGGGCTTGAGCTAAAGGCTACCCCTACGCTGTAACCCACTGCGCAACCGCAGCCCTTTTGAGGCTTCAAGCGAAGAGAAAAAGGAGTGTCCTACCCTGAGCCCAGTAGGACCCCGAAACAGCCTCTGAGCTTTCGCACCTTCAGGCCCTCCTTGAAGCCTCCCTGTGAAGCTTCCCTTGAAGCCCACCCTTCAAGCCCCCCTTGAAGCCCCCCTTGAAGCCCCCCTTCAAGCCCCCCTTGAAGCCCCCCTTGAAGCCCCCCTTGAAGCCCCCCTTGAAGCCCCCCTTCAAGCCCCCCTTCAAGCCCCCCCCTTCAAAGCCTTCGACCCTTCCCCCCCCCCCCCCCCCCCCCTCCCCCCCCCTTCACCCCCCCCCTTCAAGCCCCCTTCAAGGGTCCGACCCTTCAGCCCCCTTCAAGCCCCCCTTCGTACGAAGGGGGCGGGCCCAGCCCCGCCGGCCGCTGCTTGGCCTGTTTGACCTTGCTGCCGCCACCCTGCACGGGCCCGGAGGACTTCTCGGAGCTCGCCCGTCGGGCCCAAGAGGCCCAAGCGGCCCAAGAGGCCCGCGAGGCCGCGAAGGCCGAGAAGAAGGCCGCCAAGGCCAAAAGGCCAAAAAAACCAAAGAGGCCAAGGAGGCCAGAGAGGCCAGAGCGGCCGCAAAGGGCGGCCAAGGAGCCCGAGAGGCGGCCCGAGATGCCAGGAGGGAGGAGGAGGCCAGGAGCTTGCGCGTGGCTGCGCGTCCTGTCAGGACCCCCGCAGCATCCTCGGCCAGTAGAGACATGCCCGCTCTGCGCAGTCTTAGAGGTTCGGGGCTCGAGTCTTCAGAGCTGTATAGTCCACATTACGAGTACTGGGTTCCTGTTGTCGACAATGGATCACATCTAGGTACAGCAGCAGCAGCAGCAGCAGCCCGGGAAGAAGTGCGGGCCCTAAATTGTCACTGCCGCGACCTCAGGCAGCGCCAAGACGAAGAACGAGCTCTGCATGAATGGGGGCCGACAGTGTGTCAGCGGCTGCTGGCGAAGAGCGAGCTCGTGCTGTTCCACTTGACGCCGGCCATTGAGGGGGCGAAGGTGGTAAAGCTCTTGTGCTCCGTGCACGTGCATGACGTGAACTTCCTGCAGGTGGGACTCAAGAGGTGTACGCGCACGTTTTGGCTGCCAGTCCATGTCCGGATGTGTCCGATCCGGCGACGTCCGGGACAGTGCACTTCCGCGGGTTCGGCTCCTGTGCGGGAACAGCGAGAGTGACGCAACTGGGCAAGTTGCAAGTTGCCTGAATCTACACGGACATCTCGCGCAGGTGTACTGGGACCAAATGCGTCGCGAGACCTGGTCCGCGAACTTGCGCGACTGGCACGAGGTTGTGGTGAGCCGGGCCCAGTTGCGCGCTGCTGCGCCCCAAATGTCGTTGGCCACGCTCGATGAGGCCATCCGCAACATAGACATACCGGCCGACCAGAGAGGCTTCTTCAACAAGCCTTCGGACACAGCGGCCGCCAGAGGCTACACGCGAAAGACGGTGGGTCCCTCTGCCCGCACGCGGGAAGAGCATGAAGCTGAGGGGGACACGTATGGGCGCCAAGGCAAGAAATCCAAGCACAATTGACCGATGCTTTACTGCGCGCAGTGTTGTTTTGAACCTACTATTTGCTGCTGTTTTTTCTTCTCTTTGCTCCTCTCTCGTCCTTTGCCGCTCTTCTTCTGCATTTATCCTGTCTTTGCAGAAGGCCCTGCTCCAGAACCTCCACGTCCTCTTGCCACTGGACCGCTGCAGCGTGGACGGCCGGGTGCCTGATGGCGTCAAGGCAACACCCTTGGAGCAGCCGGCCAGATCCAGCCAGCAGACTCGAGAAGGAATGATGAAGTTTGCCGAGCATCGCATGATCTCTCGACTTGCTGAACACATCACTGCAGACTGCTGCGAACAGACGGGAGAAGTGCAGGCCTATGGTTTCTTGCCGGAGAAGCTGCTGCAGGTGGTCCATGCCCTTCTCGCCTGGCTTAAGGTCCGAGCCTGCCCTTTCGAGGACATCTCTCCGGCGGACAAGGACTTGCACTGGAGCATTGCCTTGCAGTGGCGAGGCTTTCAGATGTCCGCGTCCGAAATGGAATCCGCGGCGGCCCAAGCAGTGAGCATCACGTTCCTGCACATGCGCTACTTGAGCGCCTACGTGCGTTTCACCAAAGCGCAGACGCACGCCTAGCGCGGCTGCGGAACCACATGGACGCCGTCTTGCGAAAGTGTGGGGCTGAGGCAGGGCCCGAAAGCGCGGCTGCAGAACCGCATGGACGCCGTCTTGCGAAAGTGTGGGGATGCAGCCCGCGTGTCTGGGCCCCCTGCTGTCATTTTGCTTGACTCTGTAGACCTTTCTCGGCAAAATTCCGGAAAGCGCTCGCTGCCTGCATTCTTGGTCTGCCACGCAGCCTTTTGTCAGTTGTCAGAAAGCCTTTGACGTCACTTCAGAACTGCAGCACCATGCATTGTCTTGTCTGTAGTGTTCCGACTGCTGCTGCAGCCTGGGCTCTTTTGGGCATTTCCCAGGAGCGTGTCCCTCCTTGCGGCACCAACGTCCTCCAGGCACTCTGACGACAGTGAGCCATGGCCACAGCAGTCCAAGACTTGGGAAGGCACGCTGGACCGTTTGACTGCTCAGAACAGCAGTCACATGAAGGTTCTGCTACGCCACGTCTATTCTGAGACGAAAGAAATGTCAGGAGCGCGAGGACCCTGGTGCAAGATGGTCCTGCGCTTCGTGGACAAGGAAGTTAGGGGCGTCTACGCAGAGATTCGCGGCAGCCTCGAGTCCGTTCAGAAAGCTGCCGCGCCTTGGACGAAGGACGTTTTCTTTGCCGCCGACCTGAAGCTGGTGAAGCACAGATATTTCGCTGGTCACTTCCTGGACTTGTCTGAGAAGGGGTCCAAGGCCAAGGCGCACCCGGTGGCTCAAGGTCACCCCCAGGCGATGGAGATGCAGAAGGTCTTCCCCATTGCGCGGTCCGACTTTCAGGTGATGGAGCAACAGTGCCAGGGTCGAGAGCACGCCGACATCGTTGGCGTGGTCACGCAGTTGGACTTGCCACCAACCAGCAAGCCCAAGGCGAATCTCTGGCTGAAAGACTTACCCGGAGGCAGGGCCCGAAAGCGCGGCTGCAGAACCGCATGGACGCCGTCTTGCGAAAGTGTGGGGATGCAGCCTGCGTGTCTGGGCCACCTGCTGCAATTTTGCTTGACTCTGTAGACCTTTCTCGGCAAAATTCCGGAAAGCGCTCGCTGCCTGCATTCTTGGTCTGCCACGCAGCCTTTTGTCAGTTGTCAGAAAGCCTTGACGTCACTTCAGAACTGCAGCGCCATGCATTGTCTTGTCTGTAGTGTTCCGACTGCTGCTGCAGCCTGGGCTCTTGCGCATTTCCCAGGAGCGTGTCCCTCCTTGCGGCGCTGCAACGACCTCCACGCACTCTGACGACAGTGAGCCATGCAGCCACAGCAGTCCAAGACTTGGGAAGGCACGCTGGACCGTTTGACTGCTCAGAACAGCAGTCACATGAAGGTTCTGCTACGCCACGTCTATTCTGAGACGAAAGAAATGTCAGGAGCGCGAGGACCCTGGTGCAAGATGGTCCTGCGCTTCGTGGACAAGGAAGCCAGGGGCGTCTACGCAGAGATTCGCGGCAGCCTCGAGTCCGTTCAGAAAGCTGCCGCGCCTTGGACGAAGGACGTTTTCTTTGCCGCCGACCTGAGGCTGGTGAAGCACAGATATTTCGCTGGTCACTTCCTGGACTTGTCTGAGAAGGGGTCCAAGGCCAAGGCGCACCCGGTGGCTCAAGGTCACCCCCAGGCGATGGAGATGCAGAAGGTCTTCCCCATTGCGCGGTCCGACTTTCAGGTGATGGAGCAACAGTGCCAGGGTCGAGAGCACGCCGACATCGTTGGCGTGGTCACGCAGTTGGACTTGCCACCAACCAGCAAGCCCAAGGCGAATCTCTGGCTGAAAGACTTATCCGGCAAGGAAATGCTGGTGAACGTGTGGGGCAGACGGCACGTGGATCTGCTGACGAATGTGCAACCAGGTCAGGTCATCCAACTTGACAATTGCGGCCTCATCAAGCGAGAAGACTCCTCCCTGGAAGGAACGGCTGAACATTTCCTTGACAATGACAAGCACGGCTTTTCTGCGCTGCACGTGGACCCACCTGGCTTGCGGGCAGACAAGCTTCGCGAACTCGGCACAGACCAGGGCGACCGCATTTCCAAGCCGTGGTGCCCGTTTTTGACTGGCGGCGGCAGGTTGACTTCCCTTGTGTTGTCGCATGTGCCGCAACCATGAATGCCTTCGGCTCGGCAATGGAGCAAGGAGCTACACAGGACCGCAGAACCCAAAAAACCCCTGAACCCTGAACCCTAATAAACCCTAAAGCCTGAAGCCTGAAGGTGTGATTTTATTTTTTGTTTGCTTCCTTAATCTTGCATCACAGCTTCGCTCGCAGAGGAAAAAGTCGAAGTGGCGATGCGCAGCATTTGGCTGGTCAACGTGCTTGGAGATCCGGTCTACACCCCGTGTAGACACTGTCAGACCAAGATTGATGACGTCAGCGGCAAGTGGCTGCGCTGCTGGATTGCTCTCCGACCTTGCCCGCCGTGAATGAAGCTGTGTCCGGCCACCTGCTGCGCTCTTTCTCGGACGACCCTTCAGTACTTTCTGAAAGGTACTGCTGCCGCTTGTGTGACTTCAACTGCCAGAACCTCACAGACCTTAAGGAGCACATTGTGAGCAGTCATTGCGTGCGTTCTCTGGATGTAGAGCGAGCTTTCGTGGAGTACCGCAAGAAAATCCTGGCAATGGTAGCGCACAGAGGTCCTGTGGCCCCTTGGCACATGCAATAGCCTTCTACGTGTCTTTTGCCTGTCATGTCATGTGTACGTGTCTGACGCTTTGTCGTGCTTGAACGAGTCAGGTGCCTGAGATGAGCCGCCAGCGTACAATCGCAGCCAACTTCGATGAACAGCTGCGCTGCCCTCCTGGAATGCACGCTGGCCGAGCGGAAGGGGGTTGTGTGGTTTGCGCCCGTCGCTTCTGGGTTAACGAGCTGTACCCCATGGTCCTGTTTCAGCCACCGGACGCAGACATGTCTTCAATCGAGGTGCCCTCCGGTGCCGAGACAGTGTTGCCGAGTCAGCAGGCTCGTCTGTGCCGAGTGCTGGGCATCGATCGGTACGCCGAGCGCTGGCCACAGATACCTCTTTCCGAACTTCAGGCATCCGCTGTCCAGCACCCTTACATGGAGGGACAGTATCTGTTGCTGCATCGACGGCGCATGCCAGCATCACCCTCGGACCCTTGTACGGTTTGCCGAGAGTGTCGCAGCAGTTTGAAATGCTCCGTTCTCATGCTTCCAAGGCACGCGCTGGCTAACGATCTGTGGATCGGACGCTCTCTGCCCGAGCTGAGCAACCTGTCGCCTGGAACAAAGCGGTTACTGCCCCTTGTGCGGGTCTGCATGCAGGTGACGGTCTTGCAGCCACTGTCGCTACCGCGCGATGAGAGGCAGAAGGGATACATCGGCAACACGATTTTCCTTCCACAGGCCGGCCCTGGAGCTATTCAGGCGACTTTGCCTCCCAAAGACCAGGACATGGCCGAGAACATATTGTTCGTTCTGGTCGGGCAGAAGAAACAGGAGCTGAGGTCCAGCAATGTCTTGCAAGCTCCCAGAGACGAGTACGTTGCAGCTGTGGAGAAACTTCGGACGACCTCGCCTTACTACCGTTCGGTTACGTTGCCAGCTGAGGGTGGCAAGGTTGGTGATGACTGCAGAGTGTACTATGCCAAGAGCAAGAAGTACTCTTTGGAGTGGTTACGTAAACCCTGATGTGCGGCGACCCAAGGCTTTTGCTTGTGAAGTTGCGTTGAGGACGGCGAGCTGCCTCGCGTAGTCTAACCTCACTGCGCGCGGCCGAATGGACGCTGTCTTGCGAAAATTCGGCCGGCGACAGAGGGACACCTCTGCCGTACACGGGCGCAATATTTGTACAGCTTCGGAACAGAGCTTCTGCTTTACAATGTTCGCGCAGAAGCGCAATGTTCCGCAGCATTCCTCGCAACAAGCTTGCCGCGTATCCCTCAGCCTCCTCGCTCCTAGCTTGTTCCCCAGCTTCAACTCTTCCAGACCTTCTCATACGGCTACCAAGCTAGCTCGGCCAAGGCTTCAGCTTCCTCTTGCGTCATCCTGATCCAGTAGAGGTCCTGTACTGGACCAAGATGACGCAAGAGGAAGATGAAGAGTTGGCCGAGCTGGCTTGGTAGCCGTATGAGAAGTTCTGGAAGAGTTGAAGCTGGGGAACAAGCTAGGAGGTGGCGCTGCGCAGCAGCAAGAGCTGCGCGGCCTGCGCGAAGGTTTCGCCACTCACGGCGTGGCTTGGCTGCGCGAGGAGCTTGCGAAGCAGACCGTGACGCAGTTGCGGGCGCTTGCTGGGGCTGCGGGTGTGCAGGGGGCGTCTACGCAGAGATTCGCGGCAGCCTCGAGTCCGTTCAGAAAGCTGCCGCGCCTTGGACGAAGGACGTTTTCTTTGCCGCCGACCTGAAGATGGTACTTCGTGCAACCTGAGCGACATCTCCGACTGGCCTCTCGATGCTGTGGTGGTGCGGTCTTCGAAGCCTGGTCGACGTCAGCACCAACACTTCCGCGACGGGCGTGCAGCAGCGCTGTGAAGCTGGCAAGCGAAACAAAGAGGAGCTTCTTCACGCTCTGTTGCAGTGCATTTCCGAGCAGGAGGCGTTATGGGAAGCTTTCCCATGACGCCTCCTGCTCTGAAATGCACTGCAACAGAGCGTGAACAAGCTCCTCTTTGTTTCGATTGCCAGCTTCATCAGGCGCACTATTGCGCAAGTTGCATTGTATTGTGGATTTGCGAAAGTGTGGGGACGCAGCCCGCGGGGCAGGGCGAGTTTTGACGTCACAGCGGAGGCAGGGCCCGAAAGCGCGGCTGCAGAACCGCATGGACGCCGTCCGGGCTATGTTTAGTATGGACACTGCGACGCACGCGCGTGTGAAAATGCAGCTAGGACCGCCCGGGACGATTGGCACCTTTGTCGACCGACTTGCAAGTGAAGCTGTTTTCTGCGCGCAGGTATTCCATGGCGACCAACATGCACGGCCCTTACTTAGACTCCACCTCTTTTGTCTGTTTTTGTGCTTGTGTGGTTTTTGCTGCTTTCCTTGCACCGGCGCAGGTGCGTGCCGCGACCGGCCGCTGGAGCTCGGCGTTGTCTTCAACGCCGATGAAAAGTCTACAGAGTTGACCACAAGTGCATGGCATTCAACTCCACACACTTGAATGCCATGCAGTTCCAGTGCATACAAGTGCAGTGTACAAGTGACTATGCAACCATGTAAGGGCATACATTTCTCCAAGTGCATACAGTTCGATTACAAAGAGTCAAGTGCATGGAGTCAACGCACGGCAAATCGATGCTTTCGGGCCATCCCTCTTCTAGTTTTTGAAGTGGGCGCCCCTTTACCACATCAGCAGCACAGTGGGCCGGTCTATTGCGACAGAGTGAGACAAGGACAACTACTTTGAGAGTCAAACTGTACAAACCAGCGAGCGTAAAAGCAGTCGTGACTACAAAAAAGCAACCGCTAGCGCAGAGGCCCTTATTGCAGGACAACTTAACGCAAGGACAACTTAACGCAAGGCCAGCGAGGTGAGACCAATGAAAACAAAAACCTACCGGCGCCTATCACTCAGCAACCCGTCACCCATAGCAACGCTGCGCCACGTCTGGTACAGACATTAAGCGAAAGTATGGGTAGGCCGTAAGGCAAGGAACCTCCGTCACCTAAACTGCCCAACGCGTCCGTAGGGACAGTCCCCACACAAGCGCCAGGGCCGTAGCAAAAGCCTAGCACTCAGTACACCTTCTTGCAGTTAGGTTGACAATTAAGTGTGACTGCGCAGAGAGTTGAGACATGTTGAGACCAAAGACTTGTTTGCCACACAGTAGCAGCACAGCCCGGCAAAGTTTAGCAGGGGCACCGGCATGCTTGACCTGCAGGGTCCGTGTCACGCAAGTGACGCACTTTAAGGTCCAAGTGACTTAACTGCCCCGCGCAGCGGCCGGTTTTCCCTATCGTACACAGACCACAGAGGACGAAAGCCAGCAGCCTCACAGGCGCGCCAGGCAGTTGCGCAGCGAAACGTGTCCCACGGAGCTGAAAAGGGCCAAGTAAAACCCACTATCCCGGAAACCTAGCCTTATGCAATTTGCAGGGACTGGTCAAGAGGGGGCCTTTTTGGCAGCCTGCAGCTTGCGGCTGCAGGGACTGCAAGCAGGCTTCTGGGCAGCCTGCAGCTTGGGTGCCGCAGAGCTTGCAAGTAGGCTTCCTTGCTACTGGGCCTGCGCTCAGCGTGCCTGTAGTCTCCAGGTCCTCAAGCGAACTGCAGGTACGTTGTTGCTGAGTGGCACACTTGCTCCCCAATGCCCTTACTGCCCCGCGCAGCGGCCGATTTTTTAGAAAGCACACAGACCACAAAGCAAAGCCCACTATCCCTGAAACTTAGCCCAGAGCCGGCCAAGAAAAGAATTGCTAGGCAGTCTGCAGCGTCAAGGCTGCAGGGGCCTGCCAAGAGGCGGACTTTTCGGCATGCTGCAGCTGGGATGCTGCAGGGACTGCATGTAGGCTTCCTTGCAACTGGGCCTGCTCATGGGTCCGAGGAACTCATAGGTTTCAGGTTCACGATTTATTTCCGCGCTGTTGCCGGGTCCTGAAGGCCCATAGGCTTCCAGTTCGCGATTTCTCTCCCTGCTGCTCGCCGGTCGCAAAAGCCCACAGGCCTCGGTTTCGCGATGTCTCTCCCTGCGGCTCCCGGGTTCGGGGAGCCATTCAGGTTCGCGATTTCTGTCCCTGGGTTTAGGGTTGAGGGTTTAGGGTTTAGGGTTTAGGGTTCAGGGTTTATAGGTTTTAGGGTTGAGGGTTTAGGGTTTAGGGTTTAAGGTTCCCTCATGCCTACACCTGCCATGGCTCAACCTACACGCGGAGACACTTTTGCACGCAGGCAAACAAAAAAGTCCTGAAGTTTGCTACTACTATAGGGCTAGGCACCTACAGCGTGTTACTGTACATGATATGTAAACGTGTTGCTCAAGACCTTCGGGAGCCTAACAGCAACAGGGAAAACAAGTGGCACAACTAACTACTGCAGAGGTAGACATGTACAAGAAGGCGTTTCAACAGTTTCCTTTTCATTTTAATAAGATTCCTATTAAAAAATGAATCCTATGAACCCCATTAAGTTTGATAGGAACGCTATTCACATGCATAGGATTTGTTTTAAATTCATAGCATGCAATCCACAATCTCGAGCAAATTGTTCAGGTCACTTCTGCTGGAGTTTTTGTGGGAGTCCCTCCCCCCTTTAAAAGCCACCGCGCATGGCGGAACGTAGTATGTTTATTTGGAAACCATGCTGAAGCGTGGGCGCGTGGGGGGGGGGTAGCATATATATATATATATATATATATATGTATCGTTCCAAAAAACATAACATGCAACGCCTCGCAAACCGAAGCCGTGCAGCTTCGACCCAATAACCCCAACGTGAGCCCCGGCCTGAGTCAAAAACAGCGCAAATCACGTCTTGAATTTCGCTAATGACTATTGGATTGCTGTTCTATCTCCGCACATTGCATTCTGACCTTTTTTGCGTTCTCGGGCCCGGAGCTCGGGCCCTGGACCACTGTAAACACTGAGTATTGAAACATGCATATAACTTTCGAATGTTTTTGCGCTATTCACAGACCCGGCCTCGGAGCCCGAACCTTGGATCGGGCCCATCCAAATATGCGAAAACCGGCTTACGCGTCAAACTTGAAACATGTTCAGTTATGCCATCTTGTTTGGCTAGCTGCTATTCCCATCTCAGGCCCCTCTATTATATCAAGAAGAGAACAGGATAGAACAGGCCAGGTGCTACGAGGGAGGAAGGACTTGGCTGGTCCACGGCCGAGGTTATTCAGGCTTGTAGGGTTTTTTACACAGCGCTGCCTAGATATGCTCGCTAATTGCAGGCCGCAGGGTTGTGGCACAGTTCCCCAATGACCAAGGGGACCCTTTGCTGGGGGACTGTTTTGGGACGCCCGATTTGGTGCTTCTGGTCCTTGCTGGGAGCCGGTCTTAGCCCTTTTGCTTAGTCTGTATTTCTCACACCGACGCGCCAAAGACTGCTCGCTGATCTGCTGACGTAGAACACCGCCAAAAACATCAAGGAACGTCCACTTGAGTCGCATCACGAGCTAATGCAAGAAAGCGAAATACCCTTGAGGGCACCAATAGTTGTAAACGCTTGCGTGCGCCGCCTCGGCAGCCGGGCCAGTCCACGTGCCCAAGAAATTCGAAAAACCTTTCGGTCTGGCAGGGTCATGGGGATGTGTTCGGGAGGGCTTGCACTTTTGACTTCCACGGACACGTAGCATGCCACAAACTCCCATCAAACTTGACTGGACACTCTCGGCGGCTTGGTCATACACCCACACGCCAACTGGAAAATACGGGCAACGAGCGTTGAAGCAAGCTGTGGCGAACGCAAGTTTGGTCCAGCGCCTCGGAAAGCTCTCGAGCGCCAATGAGCAAGAGTTGTTGGGTCCGAACTTTTTAGTTGAGTTTCAGTGCGCGCAGCATTTCCGCGTATGACAACGCAAACACTCCGTCACATCTGAACAGACACGAAGCCCGGCCCCCAAAGATTACAAAATTGAAGCCTCCAAAACTGTTTAGTTTCCTTGCCGGTTCTCAAAATGGCCAAAAAAGCAGCCTGAAGTGGGAGATCTGCAAGGGGCGACAAGCTTCCAGGGCCATTTTTTGAGCCACATGGCCGAAACGTGGATTTTGACCCAATGTCGGCTTCAGCACCGAATTGGAGCTTGAGTGACATTTTTGGCTTCACCCTGTGGAATGGCCGGAATTCAAGTCAGTCGAATTTCGGCTTCAGTACGTGCATGCCGAATTTAGGCTTCAATTTTCGGCTTCGAATTTACGCCAGGGGGGTCCGACAAGGGGACCCATTTCCCCACGTCTCTGTTCGTGTGTATTCGTAGCTGCGCATGGACGGAACAAGGAGTTCCGCTGTGTGGGCTTTGTCATGGCTGTTATGGCAAGGCAACTGGCTTTGTGGAGCTGTTTGGCTTGCACAGGCAGTCTTTTTAGGATGATATTCTGCTCCATATTTAGCTGCGGTGCAGGAAAGTACAATTCGTTCCATTCTTGTCGTTATTGGCATCCTGCAATGGTTGAACAATATCTGAAATCCTCCTGCCCAAAGGTTGGCGCATGGTAAGCTTTGGCAGCCCGCGCAGCCATGCCGGCAAGGCTCATCAGAGTTCTGCATCGGCACCCTGTTGCGCAGTCGTTCCTCTTCAGCTTGCGTGCCGTCCGAGGCTTAGCAAAAGACCCGATACCATGTCGATCCAAAGAAATGCTGTCATGGTAGTGGGCATGACTTCATGTTCCCTTATTCACTGGCACTTGAAAGCCAGTTCTTTGTTGAATTGTTGTGGCTTGAAACCATGAAACGGTCAAATGGCAGAAGCATCACGCAAGTTGCAGACAGATGTCCAGGCAGCTTGTCTCTTTTTCAAAGACGGCACTCGTTACAATCTATGCTTGAAAAAACATTTCTTCCCCCACCGATCTTCGAGCACCGTAATGTTCAGCTTTTTGAATTTCATTGGAAGTTACGCGTTTTGGGTTCACACATGGCTTGGGTTGGGTGGTTGTGCAAATTTGATGTGATATTCGGCACGGGGCTGGTAGACCTGGTCGGCATGGTGGTGAGTATACTACAGGGGACGAACGAAACAATTGCTTGCCTCATCGAATCAGAAAAAGAGCAGATGGAACTCACACATGCCCATGTTCCTAGAGCAGAACACCATCCATCCACATCAAATGCGATCTCGCAAACAGAAGGCCTCATTTCAAGGACCATTATGCCAATATTGTGGTTCCCCAACACCTCCAAGCTTAAAAGGGCTGGATCAAAAGTATCACTAGTATCCAAGACACTTCGGCTCAAAGTCTTGAATTGTCTTTCAAGACACGTCAACCGGCTCGGTGCAACATGCCATGACCCTGCAAGCAATTGGTTGCGTTGATGCCCAGCAGAGCTTGCAGGAAGCTTTCAATCACAATCAAAGACTTTTACTTGGGCGCTGAGGTGAGGAGTTCCGGGCTTCAAGCCGCAACCGGGCGCGACACCTGCAGATCGCCTCCCTGGTTGGTACCTACCGCTGACGAAAGAGTTCATGAATCTAGAGTAAAAGTTCAACCTTATGGCTTTTACTTTTCTGACAATGAACCATAGCGACAGGACTTCTGCAACTGTTCCGGCAGCGACGCACGCTGAGCCTTGTCCGTGCCCGCGCCCATGCGTCGTCTCGGCCAGTTCTCCAGCTTTGTCCCTTGGCTTTTTCCTGCCCGGGTATGTACATGTGTTGCCTCCTTTCCCTGACCCATGCCCAAAGCCTCAAGTCCTGGGCATGGTGGAGGGACGTTTGTGTTTAGTGTTGAGCCATGGCACCATGAGCCATTGCACCATGCGTCATGCGTCATGCGTCATCATTACTTTAAAGCTTGCAACATGCATTGAAGCGCCTCTCTTGAAACCCTCTTTGGTAAAATCTGTTATCCGATTTTATCCCAATCACATGAGATTGATTCATACCAATATGTCTCACGGTATTCAAACCGATCATTAAAACTTTGCCAATTCTTAATTGAAAACCAACATACTATCACTCAAACCGTGTGTGTGTGTGTGTGTGTGTGTGTGTGTGTGTGTGTGTGTGTGTGTGTGTGTGTGTGTGTGTGTGTGTGTGTGTGGGTGGGTGGGTGGGTGGGTGGGTGGGTGCGTGCGTGCGTGCGTGCGTGCGTGCGTGTGCGTACTTGCTTGCTTTCTTGCTTGCCATCAGTAGGATGGATGAAACTCAGGTTTTGACATCAACAAGACCATTGTCATGGAAGCTGGTTGGCGTTTTTAATGTTGGCAAGGGGTTGGGAATGGGACTTCTCTGGGTAGCCCTCATCTTCTGCTGCATCCGGTTGCCTTGCCTTGATGTGTTTTCAACAAACTGCTACCAGCATCTCGCCACAAGCTAGGAGAACCCAAGCTTAGGAAGATTCCTCGGGGAGGAAGTCCGCCCGTGAGCTGTGCAACGAGGCATCGGCAGATGCTTCGGAGTTTAGTTTGAGGGCCATGACATCTTGAAGAATTCGCGAAAAACGGGGCTGGACTTGATGCGCCCGAGGAGTTGCAGTCAGTTGAGGTCCTCATCAACCTTTGTAATCGCGACTGCAGCCAGGCCTTGGCCGACGCCACTTGGGGCTCTGTGCGCGGAGGCCGCTGGGAATTCAGCGGGGCCCCGCTCAGCTTGGAAGCTCCGGACTGGCTGGGGACTGGCAGTCGTAATTGATTTGTATGGAAAATTTGGGTCAAAAGCTTAGGCTGAGATGTGGACAGTTGTGAGATTTCTACCTTGTCTTGAAGGACCAAGGGCTGATTTCCTACAGCGCGTGGGTGCACGAGCTTTTTCGGAATCGGCCGGTGGACGCTTCCGATTTTTCGAGCCTTACAACCTCGCGAAGCAGGCTGGCCAAGGCCAAGGAGGAGCCGAAGAAAACAGAAGCAGGCATGCAGAGGTGAGCTAGGGGCGCTATGGGCGGGCGCGTCGAGTGTTTAAAGCGCGAGGTATCCCCGTTGTAAACATTGTAAACGTTGTAAACTTTGTAAACGTTGTAAACGTTGTAAACAGTGTGAACATTGTAAACATTGTAAACATTGTAAACATTATAAGCATTGTAAGCATTGTAAAGATTGTAAGCATTCTAAACATTCTAAGCATTGTAAACGTTGTAAACATTGTAAACATTGTAAACATTGTAAACATTGTAAACATTGTAAACATTGTAAACATTATAAACATTGTAAGCATTCACATTGTAAACATTGTAAACATTGTAAGCATTCACATTGTAAACATTGTAAGCAGTGTAAACATTGTAAGTATGGTAAACATTGTAAACTCCCTTAGACTTGACGAGTCGAGAAGTCGAGAACCCAAATGGGATTCAGAGCTTTACAAAGGTCTGGTAGCAGTGTTCCCTTCATTCGTAACATGACTTCCCAAATCCCATGCGCACACGAAACATCAATTCTGATCGTATAGTGTTCAGCATCTGATGAGTTGCAGATATTCTAAAGGTTGCGCAAAAACCGGAACATACGTGCCAGTCTGTCTCGGCCCTTCCCACCAGAGCATGAACATAAAGGCTATGCTCAGAGAGAAACAACCACGAAAAATGCGACAGAAGATCTGAATAGAGTGTGAAGCTTGTCTACCGTACGACCCTGCCTTGAGGTGCTAGTGCCCTACTTTGAGGGTTGCAGCTGCCAAACAATCTAATTCTCCCAATTGAGGAAGGGCACCAAAACTATGACCAAACCGACCCCGGTGGTCTTCGTCGGAGACGTAGCTTGAAAGTTTTTCAACTTGCGATGCTGCACAAGGGCCTCCAAAGTGACATCTTCTCCAATAGCTGAAGCAATGTCCGGTTTTGCATCGTGCCAGGAGAGGGACCGCCTCCGAGGATCTTTCGCCGAAGAAGGCGGTGCGGCCCCTGCAGAGGCGTGTTTGTGAGAAGTCGGAGGGGCCTTAAAAGCAGGAGGCACTTTGAAGTGTTTTCAGGCATTGGGGACACCTTGGAACTCAGGGCCTAAGGACATGTCGAGGGTGAGGTGAGGGCATGGTTTTTTCCCATCGCTGCTTCGTGCCACTTTGTGAATGACTTTACCAGATTGTTTCCATTTTTTGAGCATCTCTGAAATGGGTGAGATGGTGAGAGAGTATGTCCGTTCGTCCCTGATTCCTAGACTTGATCAGCCCATGGTTTTTATTCAGGAGCTGAGAAGGATAACAGGTCCTAACACAAATAAGGACCTGGTGATAAGTGTGGAGTTTAAAGTCTTAAGTTCTTTTGTGCCAGAGTTGACGTAAGCACTTTAAGTTCTATCAAAGATGTAAGTTAAAGCTTTTGCTCGGCAATCCGCAAGTGTAAGGTTAAACAGGTTGGCCATGAATCAATGGAGTGGTAAAGGTTGTTTGGGCGGTAGGGAAGTGGTGCTTAGGACCGGCACTTTGCGGCAGTAGTACGGCACCGATTGTCGGCCGTCGCACGGTTCTTGGCCGTAAAGCCAGATGCAGGAAAGTTGTGGAAATGAGTTTGCATTTTGCCCCCCGACGTCCCTTGCGCCATCTTGCGCCCTCTTCTCCCATGTATAGCTGTGAAACCTAGACTCGGTCTGTCCATGTCTCTCCTTCCAGGTCGCCCAGCTGCTTCAGCCGATGTTGCAGCTTTGGCAATGTGAGGTGGATTCAGGATTCAGGATCATGGTCGGGCAGGGAATGTAGTTCCTGAGCAATCTACTTTGCTGGAGACCGGTTCAATCTACGAAACCAGATGCGAGTCAGTTGCAAGATGCACTGGAGCCGATCTAGCTCTGTATTTGTCTCATGAAGGTAAAACCATACTCGACTTGGCCACGAAAGCAAGAAGCAGCAGGCTGTCGAGAGACTGGCAAATGTGAGATTCAGAGCTGTGTGTGGTGCCAAGGAGTCAGCTTCTCATCCCAGAGGTGCTGCGCTCGTCCCCTGCGATGGAGGCTGCCGGTCTGGCAGGTCGTGACACCTGGCTCCTAGATGAATTAGCCTCCTTAGCCGCTAGCAGGAGTGGCCTCACAGTAGACTCACAGTAGATTCACAGTAGATTCACAGTAGATTCTGTACATCCGAAGTCAACAAGTCAAGTAAGAAGATCCCGGCTGAGAAAACCCTTGCATTCATATTGATCTTAGCCGGGGAATTGTAATTGAACTTACTTGTAACCTGCTGCTTATCTCGTTTTTTCCCTTCTTGTCGCCTTTCCAAAACACGGATTTTTCATCCATCGTCATCCATCAGGGTTATCTGCGACACGTCGTTTGGGCCGGTTTTCCTCATTCAGCGGCTTGGCTTTCCAAATGTCGTCGCAAACCTAATCGACCTTCTCAAAAGTTGGATCGGGAGTATGCTTCTGGCCGGCGTGCGTCCGTATCGGGTCTTGAGACCTTATTGCTGGGCTTTGCCGGCGATATGGCCATTATGGTGCCCGTTCAATCCTGGACGTGCAAAAGGATGACCAAGGTCTCATAATGTCACAAGTTCCCATTGAGCATCATTGTGATCCTCCTCAGCAACAGATCATCGTTCGTTTGCACATGGTATTGCCTGTCATCGCAGCCTTTTGTTATTGGATATATTGGGTGTCCTTGGGGACTTCAAGTTGTTGGCTATTGGCGAGTTCGTCTGGGTGTAGCGCCCTATTTCCTGTCACTATTTCCTATGCATATCGGCTCAGATCTTCATTAGCCCTCGGCGAGTTTGCAAGACCTCCTTGGGTCTGAAAGAAACAGAAGCCGGAAACACTTACACACATATGCTGGTAACTGTTTCAAGCCCGATCTTCGAGGTTCATCCTGCCCTCGTTCCTCGCCGCAGTGCGCGAGCTCCTGCAGTCGGATGGCCTTGAACAGGTTGGGTGGGGATGGGCAGACATGTGCAGCCTGGATGCGAAGCGATCTGGCATGACTCCCTCCGACCCTCTTCTTCCAACAGGTGCGAGTTTCCTTGCATTTCCGCACATTCGGCAGCGATCTACCTGCCGTGGCCAAAGAGTTCAATGCCTTCGTGCCTGAGGCTTTAATTTTGCATGCCTTCGTGCGCCTGAGGCTTTACTTTTGACAGCTTGCATGCGCTAGCACCGCAGGATTTGAGACTTTCCGACATTTTTGAATGGAGGTCCTGTGACAAACCTGAAGTACGTCTAAGTACGTCAATCAGCAAATACACACCGCATCTCACCACAGCCCTGAACATCGCAAAGTAGCAAGACTTGCTTTGTTTTCAATTTCTATACTAACCTGCTGACCATATCGGCCATGCGTGTACAAGCATCATCACAATGCGACTAAAGCACAAGCGAGCGTTTTCAGGCGTAGATGCCTTTTTGTTTGTTACGCGGGCAAAAGGATAGTTTTCACAGGTTCTGCCTTCGAGCTGCAAGGACCTCACTATGAGTTGGAAGCCCTATCAGGGTTTGTTCGCCTTTGCTGTAAGAACGGGAGCAGTGTAGCAGTGTAGGCTACGAAGCACGCCCTAATATAAGGTCAGCCCCCAAATCCCCAAGTTCCCAGGTCAAGGGCGAGCACCCTCTGCATCCGGACTTCTGCTGCAACGAAGACGACGACCTCGAGCTCGAGCTGGACCTTGCAAACCGCTTCGGCTCCTACTTCCGAGACTTGGCGCCAACTTGCTAGCCGCAAGAGCAGCTTTCGCAACAGCCTTACGTGAGCGCGGTAGTAGGTTTGGTGACCCCCGGAACCGAAGGAAACCCCACGTTTGGATGCCTTGCTATAGTTGAGGGTGTGGCATCGTTTGGGTTCTGCGACGCAAACTCTTAGGAAGGATATGTTGGAAATGGAACTCGCCATGGATCTAAGTCGCATCAGGGAGAGAGAGAGAGAGAGAGAGAGAGAGAGAGAGAGAGAGAGAGAGAGCGAGAGCGCCAACTCGCGTCCTTCAGGGCTGCACACCTTCAGGGTGGCCATGCATGCAGACAGACGGGGAGAGAGAGAGAGAGAGAGAGAGAGAGAGAGAGCGAGAAAACAAGAAAGAGAGAGAGAGAGAGAGAGATGGAGCCGATGAGAGAGAGAGGGAGAGAGGGAGAGAGGGAGAGAGGGAGAGAGGGAGAGAGGGAGAGAGGGAAGCCGAGACGCGCACAAGTATGCGCGCTTTCAAGGAGATTCGGAGGGCCCGATGCTTGCTCTTGGAGCTGACCTAAGCGGATGTCAACATCGAGAGGAGCTGACGGCAGCCCTCAAGTCCCCAAGCAATCTTTGGAAGTGAAGGCTTCGCAGTCGGAGGAGTGGAAGGCACACAAGTGGATCCTGTGCGCCTCACAAACACGACTCGCGTTTGTGGTGCTGCAGACATCAAGTTTTGCCAGGGCTAGAACCGTTTCTTCAAAGCCCCGCTCCATGTCGGATTCATGTTCGAGAAGCCGTGCACTGTAATCGTGTGTAGCGGGTAGCGTGCTTTGCGCAATTTTGTAGCTTTCAATCCCAAGCCTGGCTCCACCTTCAACGAGACGCTGCAAACCTTATTCAACGCTCTTCAGCATTCAGCCAGAGCGATTTCTAGGAGGTTGCCGAGAAGATCCGGAGCCAGGGAGCCCGGCTGATCGATGGCTACCAGGTGCGGCAGGAAGAAGACTTTCGGCGTCTAAAAATCGAGCCAACGGTGGTGAAACACCTGGAGCCGAAACTCGAATCTCCAGATGGGAAACGCAGGGAAACACATGATAAATGTGCCCCGCCCCTTTTTGCTCGTACGCGCCACCACTCGTCGGTCGTATTCTGCCCTGAACCGCAGACCCTGAGTGCGCTAAGAGGCGGTAGAGCGTATGCAGCCTGCCTAGAAGAACATGCTGTCCCTAAGAAGTTAAACCGCCTCCCCTGAACTCTAAGGATCCTTGCACATTGTTGAAAGGCCACGATAAAGTCACGTCTGCTCTGTTTCTGCAACGCATTTGATTTTGCCGTGGCCTTTGTGGCATTCAGGATTTCAGGAATGGTTTGTGCTGTCAATCGCTGGCATCCTTGTGACTGTCCTTTGGGAACAAGCTCTTGAAGCACTCCAAGTAGCAAAACAGCTTTGTCCTCAATGAGCAAAACAGCTTTGCCATTAAAAAGGCAACGCGCCAGAAGCGCGAGAGACAAAACTGCCTGCAATCTGAGCTCCAAAGTCTGATTCTGATAGTATGCCTGCGAAGTGGCCTCTAGACTACCCTTTACTCTTCACCTTTCACTCTATCCAACCTTTGATCCTGGGCAAAACTCTTCAGTGTGTAGGGTTATCTGGTTGGATAAAACTTCGCAACACATCGCTGAATGTTTCTCACGTGGACTGCAAGGGCGTGGTCCGACCCGGCCGACGCCTGTGATCTTCACGCTTTCGATAAACGCGACGGCTATCGGAGTCCTCTCTCCTCAGAAGAAAAAAGGAACGCGCCCGGCTGGATGGGTGGAACGCGGCTCTGGGGCTGGGGGTCCGCAGGCTTGGCTGAGGCCATCCCACATTTGTTTACGCTCATGCTGTTTGGTCTTCGCCGGTACTGATCTTCATCAATTCTTGTTTACCGTGTCTTGTGGGGTGCACCCAAAGTGGAATAAGAAGGGAATGGATGCATTTCTCCTGCATCTTCCCGAAAATTTGCATGTCGTAGCTGCCTTAATCGGCAGAAAAATTGATGGTGCCTGTTAGGACAATTGACGTCGACATTCCCCATACGGGCAGCAACTCTCAGGAATTGTTGTACTCGGTGTTTGTTTTGTTTTCTTTCTTGTGGGTGTGGAGGCATTCTGAATCTTCAAATCGTGGCGTGCCGAAGGCCATCCACGATGAAGTGCGCGAGATAAGCAGCAAGGGACAGGCCTGGTGCTTTCGGGACTACTGGAGCTTCTGGCGAGATCAGGCAGAGGCCGGGTTGGACAACCCGACGTTTTGCGGGAAGCTGGTTAAGCACCCTGATGAAATCCACACAGCAATTTACTATCCAGGGATGTGGAACGATGTGGATTTCGCAGCGGCTGTTGTCATTTCTTGGCTCCCACAGCGCTATGGCTTCTATGGAAACACCCCAAGCTCACAAGCCGTAAACCCTAAAATTTGAACTGTCAGATCCCGAACTTGAGCCAGATCAGACCCTCTACCTTCAAGACTACACCTGCCGTCCGTAAGCCCGGAAAACCCCTCAAAGCCCAAAGTCCTTAGGCCGAAACCCAACAAAATCGTCAACCCGAAGCTGCAACAGTTGGGCGAGACAAAGTCAAGCCATTGAAGAGACCCTGGAACGCTCAGACCCTGTCTACGGCCTCATCGATTCAATCGTGAATCCTAAACCATCTGAACGCCGAGCCGAAGCCGTGCCATGAAGCCGTTGGAAAAGGGGTCCAAATGAAACCCTGTTAAGCGGAAACTCTTGGAAGCGCCGTCGCCATGCCTCTAGATTTGCGGTGTTGCAAAGGGGCCCCCCCGATGTCTCAGCCACGCGACGAACCCCACCCCCATGAAGCCGCTCCCTTGGTGGAACTCCTGCCAATATGGCCTTATTGTGTATCTTGTTTGTCGTACGGACTACCGTACTTCATGTAAACTCATGTAACAAGTAGTCACATTGCCACATTGTTGTTGTGTTTCACAGATGATGGATGCCTTTTTCAACATGAGTTCAAGAACGACGCGATCCAAAACGCTGCTAGTCTGACAATTCTGTATTCTCAAGTGATGTCTGACCCCGAACCCCTATCATGCGCATCGGCGTGTGAGGTTGAAGGCACTTTGACTATGCACACGCAACGTGATGTGAGTTTGCAGTTCCTTCAAGCGACTCAAGCTTGATCCGTTTCAGCGAGCCACGCACCCCTCAAAAGTCCCTCGGAGTTGCTGAACAGGCAGCAGAAGCAGGGAAGTTGCTCACTGTCAGTGAAGATTTCCACGCTGGCAGCTCAGGCACTTGGTATGGGGGTTGGGATCCAAAGGAAAGCCCCCGAATCTGCGGGATTCTGAATACTTCGTCCCTGCATGTCCCTCCTTGTGCCAAGGTCTTGTACATGGATGACAATGCCCGAGGCACACGGGTGGCTGTTCCTGCACGTGTTTGAGGGCGGACACTGTTGCGTTCTTGCTTGTGGCATTTTGACTTTCAAGGAGTCACTGTCTGGTGCTTCGTGCATCTGGCCTTGTTAGCCAGCCTGCTTCGGGGAAGGAGGTCCAGCACATTGTAAAACCTTGACCCCATGGACTTCCGTCTATCCTCGGATCTTGACCATCTTGACCCCTCAATCCCAGTGGGACCCTTTTCAAGGTCCTGATGGCCACATCGTGGATGTTCGCGACAGAGATGGGAAGTCGCGATCTCAGGTATTGACAACTGGAGATCAAGCGTCAAAGGTCGGGATGCTGTTGTTTGACCATCGGTTGTTTCTGTTTCTGCCAGAAGAATCGGCGTGCAATGGGTCAAGCGAATTTGCTCTGGTCCTCTACCATGGTTGTGTAATGGTTTCGGCACAGCAACCAGCTTTCGGGGTGCAAAGTCGCAAGCGGCAAGCATAATAGAAGATCATACAGGAACTGTCTGTCGAGTTCAAAAGACACAGAGGATTTGGGGAGAACGAAAGCTGAGGCGGCTTGCATGGCCCGAGGTCCGAGCTGGGCTTCCACGTGCTTCCACTGTCTTTTGAAAGGTTTCTCAAGACATTTCTGTCGCGCGGTCGGCCCTTGTGGGGGGCACTTCTAGCAGTTCTAGCATCCATTGGCGATTCAAGCACGTGGGTTTCTGGGACGAGTCGTATGTTTCAGTGATTTTCAATGTGTATGCTTGACAATTCGACAGGTTCTTGCTGCTGGCCAAGTGGTCAGTGCGGAGCTCAGGTTGACTTGTTTCACAGGTATGGATAGTGCACCGCTTTTTTCACTTGGCTTGATTCCCCAGCAATCAGCACGCCGCAACATCTTTGCTCCAATCTTGGTTGACAGGCTTGGTGTTTTGCCGAAACCCCCAGCTGCCTCAACAAGTCCAAAGTCCAGACAGTTTGGACGGTTGGTTCTTTTCTCGCAATATCGCCCACTGCCCTTATGGCAATCCGGTCAACTAGGCCTTCTCGCTTCTAATTGCTTCCGCAAAACGTTGGCTGCAATCGTTACAGCTTCAAGATTGTGCTGATGCGCCCGTTGTCATGATGAAGATTTGACTGAAGCCATCCTCGCAAGTCAAGACCTTGGGCAATGAAAGCTGCAGATTTGCAAATACCATCAAAGGTCCCAACCTGACGAACCATGCATGCCAATGCCACTGCTTTTTGGGTTCGGAATTGATAAAATCTGGATAACTACCGGCCTGTTCTCTTTAGGTGGGCAGGGTAGCAAGAGAAACAAGCGGGCACACTTCTCATGATTATTCATTGCAAGCCAAGTGGCCACTAGCTCCCAAGTATTCGGAGCATCACTGTGGGAAGAGGCAGCAAGGAAATCGTTGCCAGCTGAAAGTCGTCACGCGCTCGAACAAAAGCATAATGAAACAGACCTAAGGTTGTGTGCGAGGACACGATAACAAGAGTACATGTCCTTGTCTCTGTTTGGTGCAGGAGCCTGGCCGCTGGCAGCTTTGTCTGCGGTTGCCTTGGTTGATCTCACTTGAGTCCTGAGAGCCCTGGAACCCTGCATGAAGATCCACATTCAACCTGAAACCTCAAAGCCAGCCAACAAATCTCCGAACCTGGCAAGCCTGCCAAAGAAGAATGACTTGCACAGTGCTGAGCAGTGCAGAGCAGTGCTGAGCAGTAATTGTTAGGATCCAGACTACTTCAAGAACCTGATCCAGTCAGCCCTGCGGCGGGTTCGGAGAGGAGAGAGCCACGGCGGGCATGTCTCATTTCAAAGGTAGGGCTTACAGCTCTTACGCCTCTGCCTGGAAAGGTGGCAATCATAGCTCACAAACCCACTCGCGCCCTCAACTCTTCGAAATTCTCGAACCCAAGCCATCCGTGGAGAGTTCACACCATCAAACCACCCTGCACGGGGTCATGACTTGAGAAAGCAGGTTTGGCTGTTTCATCCTGGAAAGGGAAAGGCTTGTTTGCCTGGCTTTGGGCCAAAAGAATTATTGTGTTTCTTCTGAGCAGTTTAGCATTGGCCTCCAGCCTCGCCACCACCAGACACGTGTGATCTGTCCAAGGCATGAGGATCTGAACTAATCACATGTATGTGTACATGAATGCTCGGTCATAAATGTCCATCCAAAACATGTAGGAATCAACACAAATGGAGACGTCTTTTCCGAAGAAGTAGCGGCTGGGGCTCTGGGGTGAGCTGGAACACGATGATTGTTTGAGGACTGCGATGCACACGGAAGCTGGAACAGCAGTTGCATTCGTCGCGCCAAGAAGGGCTCCAAGAGAAGCTCCATGTCGAAATACTATTGTAGGCGCAGTGCATAGACACAATGCCTCTGCATAGTGCACGACCTACATCAGCGTCACGCTTCCAGTTCGTCATGGTGGCTTTCCAACAGAGTCACGGTTGAGAACCCGGGTCTGATTCAGGCCTTGGTGTTCTCAGCCAGTTCAGCACCACTCGTGTTCACAGCTGCACAGGTGCCAGTACCCTTTCTTCCCTTGCTTCGGTAGCCAGAAGTGATGATCCTTGCAAAAGCTAGGACAGACACTGGAAAGTTCATCAGGCGGTGGGAATGTGCTGTATCTGCCACCTCCGAAACGCACACCCTTCTGATTGGACGGTACCCCCCCAACATGCGACGGAGATCTCCAACAAACGTCAGAGCTTCCGGTCCTTCGGGATTGCGGAAGGGAGGCCGTCCTCATGCCAGGGGATGCAAACCCATCTTGCGCCAACAGTGCAACTGATGCTTTTCACAACTCAGCCTGATGGGAAGCTGCTTTTTTGAACAGCGACCTCGAATCCACTCGTCACTCGTGACTTATCTGAGTGTTTTCCCAAGCGACAGACAGCTTCGCTACCGGACATCCTGTATCCAGGGTGGTTCGTTGGCGTGGCCTGGTAGGGTGAGCTCACGGAGCTCATGCCCTGTCACATACATGGCCTTGAGTGGCGCTGTGGCCGTGCGTTCGCTAGATTCGGCTTGAGTCTTATGGGAACAATTACAGTCATCAAGGTGGAATCTGAATCTGCGACACCGACATTGCGTTGCTAAGCTAGCAGGTGGACAAGATGCAGTTGCCTACGTCAAGAGTCTGTGAGGGCGAGCTTTGCTTGTCAAGCTTTGGTCAAGTTGTGAGAGACTCTGCAAGGAGACCTTCAGCTTTGATTGGTCATGGAGCTGTGCACGTGTCGGACGCGATGACAGGCCCATTGTGGGATACTGAGGCAGTGTTGATAGTGAAGGAGCTGCATGCCAATCTGAGGGGGAAACCTAGCAGAATCTAACCGGGAGGCCTTAAATGGAGGAGACTTTGTCTCGGTGAGGGAGCGCATGTCAGCACAGCAGCTGGAGCACATGTTTTTTGGTGGGATATTCCACCGGGTTCCAGCAGGTTCCGCTACTTGTCGCTGCGTTGCCGGATGTACAATTTTCCAGGAGTCTCAGCAGAACTGTTGAACTGTTCATGCAATGCAGTTCCCGCGTGGTTGTCGAAGAGGGGGCCGCCATGATGCATTTGAAGGGCTCAAGATGCATTGCGGTGCAGCAAGTGCAGCAAGTGCAATGAAATACGTGAAGCGAATCCTCAGCACTCAGTGAGAAGACAATGGAGAAACTTTTGGTATCCGGGTGTGGCGGCTTTGAAGCAGGGGCAATAGTTTCATAGTTCTAAGGATGTTCTAAGGATTCTAAGGATACTAATAAATCTGTCTTGCAAAAGAAAGGTTCCACAGATTGCTCTTGCCAGGATCCAGGCCCTAGGCCGCCCTGAGCAATGATGCCCAAGGGGTCGTTCTTCGGCGCCCTGGAAAGGAACATCTCGGCCTTTGTCTTGGTGGCCTTCGATACCACCCCAGACGCATGGGCACCTACGAGAGCAGGGAAGGCACTGGAGGCGGCCAGGGGCTTGGTGGAGCGGCTGACTTTCCTGTTCCCACTTGAAGGCAGCGAGGTGGACACAGATCAGGCACGCACTGGGCCAATCCCGCCTCGTGCAGAGACTGTAGCCGTAAGTGCAAGGGTTTTCTCATCAAGGCTTTGTAGAGCTTCGAAGGGGGTCTCTGAATCCCATGCAGATGCCACTAACAGCAGGGCTTAGACCCCCCTCATGTCCGTCAGAAGGCGCTTTGGTTCAGATGGCACGTCGAGGAGTTGCTCGTGCTTTGGATTGGCTTTGGAAGGGGGTGGTTTGACCACTTGTCAGCATTCTCTTCAGGCTTGATCTGGCAGTGCCTCGCCTTCCTAGAATCGTCTTCCCCCGATACAGGTCCTTAGTTTTGTTCGTGACAGAAGGTGACTGACATGTCATCAGTAGCATACAGACACTTAACGACCGTTGAGGTTCTACACCTGCGCGCTTCCCTTGAGACTCTTCCTGATGCACACCTTCCGGATCTTTTGGCCTTTGCTCTACTGCGGCCTTGCGAGCAAGTATATGATTGCAGAGCCCTATCGCACGATCTTGCTGCCGGAGGTGGACCTGACCCAGCACAGTACGCATGCTTTGGTCAAGAGGGTGGCGCTGCTGCAATCCCTGCCAGCCTGTGATCGTCTGTGCTTCCTGGACCTTTCGGCTGCGTTCGGAGCTTTGGCGCTCCAAGCGGGACAGAGGAACCAGGAGGCCGATCTTTTTGCTTATCTAGCCGAAATCCAACTGCAGTTGCAGTCCGCCTTCTGTGAGGACATCCACGATTGTACCCGCACGCGTCCCGCTGCAGAGCTACTACGGACGACCGTCGGCTTCCTGCACATGATAGCAGAACTGCCACTTCTAAAGAGGAGGAGACAAGACGTCTTCGAAAGTGCTGGCGCAACGCTTGAAAGCACCAACTTCAGAGGCCCTTCCCTGGCCTCTGTGCACTCAGATTTCTGGGGGCTCCCTTTGATGCTAAGCCCCGCTGATGAGATCGAGACCCCGTGCTTGGACAAGATGGACACGGATCCCATAAGCCCCGCAAGAGCCTTGCAAATCTACCGCATGCTCAACACCGTCGGCCAAATACTCTCCCGATTTGGTGTGGAGTGGTTTGTGTCACACGGTACGCTTCTGGGCGCTATCCGGCATGGAGGTCAGATCCCACATGATTGTGACTTAGACATATCGATGTTCTCTTGGGATCTTCACAAAATTAGAAATGCCTCCTTGATGCTGGCATTACAGAGGAATGGCTACCTTATGGATTACTTGCCGGTTCAGAACCTGTTTACAGTATGGCGAGTTGGCAGGCATATGGGCAGAGAAGTTCGTGGCGCGCGTGCGCTTGACAACCTGAACAGGTACAGTCCAGCTTTGCACATCTTCGTGCTCTTCGATCATCAGAAAAGAAAAGCATGGGAGTACGAGACAGACAGACTGAAGCACCAAGGCTGGCGCCTCCTTCAGGCGGATTTGCTTCCTCTGCAGCTTCGTCCATTTGGGAGCTTCACAGTTCCAGTCCCCGCAAATCCACAACTTTACTTGGATCGTATGTATGGAGATGACTGGCAGTCAACGATCCGCAGCATGACCGCACTTGAGGAGTTGGATTACTTCGGTCCAACCCCCCTGAAAACTACTTCAATGGCCCAACCGACTGGTCCACTGGAAGAAGTGTTTTTCGACTAAGTTGCCATTCCTCGTACTCGTACCTTCTCCTTGTCGCCAATGTGCGCAATGTGCCCAGGGTAGCCGACAAGTGAAGCTCGAGGCCCAAGCGGGATGTTTCAACGCGCCGATGCACACGAGCTGAAAGTTCACAGCGGACGCCAGAGAAGCAAATGCTTGCCTGTCTCGTGCCTTGGCGGACCTGGATAGCTGACACCAGCAGCCTTTCGCCGGAACAAGATCATCTCTCGTCATGTGGGCAGCAGCTTCCGTGTGGAGTTTTGTTTCGAGCTGGCTTGTGCCGAAATTTCGAGAGAGGTGGAAAGGGAAGAAAGCTCGCAACTCCCGTGCTCCCTTCCCTCGGTCCATGGCTGTCCAAGGTCTACAATTCTACGCATATATAACCGTAAGGAGTGTGCTCGATTGCGCGAGGAAAGGTGTAGTTTCACACCCACCGTTGCCTGCCAGCACACGCGGAAAAGTTTGTCCTTTGCTCACCTGCACTGCTTCACCCCCTGATGTCAAATCCTCAACTTGGTAGATGAGCTGTGTTCCTCAGCAGTTCGTGCCCAAGGTAGATGCATGAACAGAATAACTGCAACCAGGTCATAGGACAGCGCCCTTGTTGTGATTGTGGGGCGACAGACGGACCCCCCAAACCCAAAACCCCAACCCCAATCCCAAGTCTTTAAATACCATCTTCGGCCGGCTGAAGGCCTGGCCGCTGGGGCTCGCGCGAGCGCCATGCAAGCACAGAAGTTCCATCATTTGGGTCAGGCGCGGGACATGGTGGGACCAGCAATGCTCGGGGCGATGCTTTGGTGCGACCTGAGTCTGATGCGACTCATACGACTGTGGAGCCTTCTGAGCTTGCTTTGGACGGACAGCCTGGCCGAGACCCTTCCGTTGAGAAGAACTGTGCAGTTGAAGGACGCGGGGACGCTTGAGGCTTTGGAGGCTTTGGAGGGATGCGGCTGTGGGTCTTTGTGGGCCGCTTTGTGGCTTTGTGGCTTTGTGGCCTCTGAAATTCTGAAAAACACTTCTTGCGGGTGAACATATCTGCTGCCTCCTGGAGGATTTGCCGATGCCTCTCCTGAGCCTGGGTTTGGATGGCACCGAGTCCACGGCAGCGCGCCTTGCATCCTTCTTCGCCGCAGGAGGCCGCCACATCAGCGTGCCTCTGCACATCTCTGCACATCTCTGCACCACATTCTTGCACATCTCATTCTGATTCTCTGCCTTTTTGGGGTTAGTATACTGGGTCTTCCCTCTTTGGAGAAGCTTTGGAGAAGCTGAGGTGAGGAGCAGCAGCCCACACCATGAGCTGCAGGAAGTGGCGGGGGCCGTTGCGGAGGCAGGGTTGTCGTGGTCGGAGGTCTTCGTGTCCGCGCAGGTCGCGGCCGAGGACCTGGGCTACGATGGGACGATCAGGGCAGTGGACCAGATGATGGGTTGGCTGGGCATCGGAGGCCTCAACCTCGCCTTGGTTGGCCCAGGGAGGCCCTCACTGGGCAAGAAGCAGGTGCTTAGCACAGATCCCGCTTGTGCTGGCAGCGACTTCGGTTGGGAGCTCTGTGTTGCTGGCAGCATTGCGGCTGTGGAGCACATGCAGATCATGGGCACAGTCGATGCCTTGGGTGCCTATGACTGGACCGTGCACTGGCTACAACGCTTCTGGCCACTCCTGCATGAGCCTCTCGCAGCTGTTCAGCTCACCTTTGACACATTTGCCAGCAGCCATCGCGCTGCTGCGAAGTACTGCTTGATGAGGGGAGTGCAGGCTTGACTGCTGGCCTTTTGCTTGCAGTGTGGTTGTCCTGTACGCTCAACCAGTAACTAGTACGCAGGTACCACTGAAATCTGCGGAAGACACCGTAGAGTAGTCATGCGAGTTGCTACCTCTTGCAACCACAGCTCCTGAAAACTTCAATCTCAGAGGTATTTGGTTGCGGTGTTTGTTTCGCGTCAAAATAGTCACGAAAGCTAGTGCAGCTAAATTGACTTGACCTGTGCTGTGAGGGTTTTCGGACCAAGTTTGTCTCTTTATCGACGATTTCGACCAAAAGGGGGGCCACTATTGAACGGTTCACACACGCGGGGGGCGTCGCCATTGGAATCTTCAATGTCGCTTGGGGGTCCGCGTTGATCCTATCAATGCCACATTTGGTGTATACTTGAGGGTCGCGCGGGGATCTTGAGCTACAGATCGCGGTATGCGTGTGTGCGGGCTGAAGCATCATCTTATCTCAAGCGTTTGTTTTGGAGAGGTGGTGACGCATGGTGATCGCATTGTGATCGTGTGCGAGTGCGGTGATGGTGCGTGGTGTTGCGTGAGGGTGGCTTGTGCGGGTTTGTAGCGGAGTGTGGAGCGGTGGTGCGCGATCTCTACGGCTTTAGCGCATGGTGGGGCGGTGGTGTGCGGTGCGGGCTTTCATGCCTGTAGAAGTTAGGGTAGTTCTTTTGTTGACCTCGGCTTGCCCCACAAGTCCTTCCAAGAACCTCTTTGGAGCAGCAGGTCCTCATGGGCGGCTTCGTGGAGCAACCAGGAAGCCAGGGAAGTCTTTGGACAATTCTAAGTTGTTTCTCAAGCTGATCTCCAATCATCTTCCCGCTCGCAGGAGGTCTCCTGCTCTACATGTTCTTCGATGCCCAGACCTACTCGGAGGCAGTTGCGGGGCGGGCCGCGTCCGCATCCGCCGCGGTTGTTGCAGATTGGTTGGCGACGAAAAATGTCGCAGCTGGGCTGGAAATGTGGGCAGGGCTTCAGGGACATCACGACTAGCAAAGGTTGCAGCCGGAGAAAGTATGAGAACGTCATACAAGGGAACGCCCACCCGACCTTCATGTCAGTGAAAATTCCAGGCTGTGGTGCTTCCTGCCAGCATTGACCCTGGGCAGCTTACCAATCTCCTTGGTCCCGACGAGCAGCTTTTGGCGTCCCGATCCCTGCTGGATGCCTTGGAGTTCCGGCCACTCGGCCTCCGTCCAGGTGGGCAAGCGATGGTAAGCTATGGCAAACTAATTCGGCTGCCGGTTTGACAGTCCGCTTCCACCATGTTTTGGCCAACTTTCGATGCCATGTGCGACAGGGAGGTTCGTGGCGAGTGCGAGGATTGAGAATCTGCAGATCTGCGAAGTACCTGACAGCGAATTACCAACCCAACAGAGCCTCATCTTCCTAAATCACAGAGATGCAACCAAGGTTCTGGCCTGTGCAGACGAGTCCAATGCTGCATGAAATCCTTCCTGAGGGTGCAGCTTGCCAGTTCGATCTCCACGTGACGGGCTTCCTGGAGCGCGTGATTTAAGCTTCTATTTGCTGCTTAGCGAAGCTGCCCGCAGTGGCATTTCCGTCTGGTCTTTGTGGATCCCTCAAAGGGTCAAAGGGCTATAAAGCGCGCAGAAGCGGAAAAGAAGAAGACAGAGAGAGCCGTAGGGAGAGGGGGAGGGGAGGGGAGGGGGAGGCGAGGGGGAGGGAAGGGGGAGGGGAGGGGGAGGGGAGGAGGGAGGGGAGGGGAGGGGGAGGGAAGGGGGAGGGGAGGGGGAGGGGAGGAGGGAGGGGGAGGGGAGGGAGGCGAGGGGGGGGGGAGGGGGAGGGGAGGAGGGAGGAGGGGGGTGGAGGGAGGGAGAGGGTGAGGGGGCTGCATCCAGGAGACTTCAGAGCAGGCAATTTTATTTTTTTTGCAAAGGGGAATGGCTGCGCGACGCTTACACCTCTCCATCTTCGCAACGCAGAAACAATCCGTTGCAGATCGAGGGGCACAGCGCGGGCTAAGAGTCGGAATAGTGCGCCTCGCGGTGACCCGTGCTGAGCTCGTAACCTACACTGCAGACCTCAACACACGTTGTAAGGCTTTCGCTGGAAAGATATGTGCCAGTCACATGTGCTAGAATCATGTACTACAGAATGCTGAATTCCGCCTCTCGGGACCTTTTCCGGGGTATCGTCGGTGTTGTAATGCAAGGCTCCCCCCTTGTGGCACGTGAACCAACTTTCCAGCGCCTGATGATGTTGCCTTTCAATGTCTGCGGAGGAGTGTGCGCTGGCCATGAAGGACCTGCGGAAGTCGGAAGCTGTACTCCCTGTGGACCAGGGTCCAAGAGGCTGCTCCGTGCCACGCGGTGATGATTTGGGACGTTTGGGATGTTGACAACATGTGATAAAGAAAGTGGCAAATAAACTGGAGGTTTGTTTTGTGCCCGCCCAGGTACTTGGGCAACAACTGCAACTCCTTTGCTTGCGCGCAGCCGCAGTTTCGAGAGTCTGGGATGGTGGCCGGTCATCCCAGAACTTTGCCAGTCTGCCAGAAAAATTTTGCCAATCTCCCGGATCAGGGCCGAACTTTGTTCTTGTCCATGTGCATGGGATCTGACTACTTCGAAAAGTTTTGCGCGCCATTCCTTGCTTCGTATCGTATGGTGTACGGTGGAGTCGCGCCTGGATGGCACACGCTGAGAGTGTGGGCAGTGGGCGTGAACGCTTCTCAGCTCCAGCAAGCTAAAGACATGTTTTCTTCGGCGGGCGTGGAGTTCGAAGAGAGCAGCCTGCAAGCACTGTCTCGGCAGTATGCAGAGGAGCATGGACACGGAAGCGGGGTGGAAGGTTATTTGCATGAGAACTTGAGCTTACCTGGTGTGGACAGCGCTACCGGCTGCCATGAGTGCGACCCGTTAAATCCTCATATTTGCCTATGTGATCCCGGTGTTCACGATGAGAAGGTCACGGGCCAAAGTCACAACAAGGAGTGTCGAATAGCATCGCAGCATGGCATAATGTCACAATAATGTCACATAGTGACGCCAGGAAAGTTCGTTGGTTCGATTCGTTCGACTTTGTTTCGTACCCTTGTCTCATGTTCACAAGAGTACGGAATGCTATTGACCAGCGTAGTGCTACAGAATGCTGTCAGCTGCATTACAACGTCGATGTGTGCAGGTCGTTTTCAACAACATCTACTTCCTGAGATGGGTCGGAGCGCAGTTCTTGGCCCTTTTGGGAACCAGTTTGGCCAATGGAGTTTTCTTTTGTGCTATGGCATAGCTTACCTAGACGAGTATCATATCCAAAAGCCAGAAGTGGCCCTGAATCTGCTGCCAGAGGTTTGAAGCAACACAGAACTCTGGCTTCCAGTACATGGTGTTCATCGATTCGGACATGCTTTTTCTGCGGCCCTTGGACAAGTTTCTCACGCGGCAGCCAGCTGCCGAATGGGAATACGCCTTCACGGTCTATGACAAACTTCATGAGGCCGGTAGCGTATGGTAGCGTAGTTGCGCTGTTGGGGTCGGGGGCTGACTTCCACGGGGGATAGCAAGCCGGAGCCACAGGCGTCGTGTTGTGTTTTCATTGGTCCAGTTTTCAATGAGCCCAGGTCCCTTGGGGGAGCAACGAGGAGGTTGCGAAGACTCGAAACGGGCATGTACGTCTGAACGCCGGCATTCAGTTCTTCAGGTGAGCCTTCAAATAACAGTACTTACAGTGCCTACAGGTTGCAGTGCTACTACATTGCGGCACTTCAAGAAGCAGCGTAGCATATGTAAGGAGGGTTTCTGGGTCTGGAAGTGGGTTCGGCTTCTGGAACTGTCTCGCGACATGTCGTGCCCCTCTTAGATCCTCTTAGTCTTTTGGGGGCGCTTGGGGGCTGACTTGACATTGACTTGACTCCGAAAGCGACCTGACCATGCCTGAACAATCTGGCAGATATACGTCCAGCGTGGCGCTGTACCTTTCCAACCTCGTGCGGATCACGCTGGACTTTGTGGAGCAAGGGCATGTGCAAGTTCCGGGTGGAAACGTGCTGACATGGTACCTGGAAGAGTTGCTCGGAGGAGATGAGCTATCGTAGTATCACGGAACCCGAGCAGCAACAAACCTAGACAACTCGAGCAGAATATGCCCGACGCGTGCATGATCGTGCATGTATGGATGCACTGCTCACTCACTTTTTCTGTGATCGTGTGTCTGTGCAGACCAGGTTCAAAGGAGTAAGCCAGGCAGCGATCGCTTGGGTGGTTGGTCTGCACAATCTGCTCTACGAGGATTGCGAGATCTGCTGGCCCAAGGCACCGGTTCTGGAGATGCTTTCGGAGTACGGGGAACCCTTCAAGCTTAAAGCTCAGGGACTCCCAGCCCGCCTACTCAATCAAGCAGAATCGGTTGTGGACGGCGTGCTGACGAAAGACATGCACATTGTGCACTTGAAAGGCCCCGTCATATCTTCCCGGGTGTCACAACGATAACGACTTGCCCTAGGCAAGGGTTGCCCTTGGTTGTGGCTACATCGGCTTCGTCGCAAGGTTGCCAGGATTCAGTACTCAAGTTCGGCATAGCTTCGAGTGTGAGCCGTTGTTGTTTCATAGCTTCACGGACTCATGAAAATCAGTTTCACGCCGCGTGCCAGTTCTTAATACATGTCACATAGTCCATATACCACAGCAACTCAATAGTTTCTCTGTGGAAGCTGTCGTGCTCGGGAGGCCTCTGGTGGCGAATCTTGATCTTAAACTCAACTGCCCATCCGATTGAAACGCGCTGCTTGGCGTGGAATTCCGATGCGCACAAGCTGTGGACATCCCTGTACCTGGCCTGGCGGCCACAGCACGTCATTGACACCGTGGTCCGGCACGGCGAAGGCTGCCCAAGAACGTCCTGGATGGAAGTTCCTGAATCGCAGCTGGGCTCTTTGCTGCCCCCTGATACCTGAAGAGCTACAGAGCACACCAGGCGAGTTGGTGGAGGAGCACGGTGGCTCCCAGGAAATTCCACGCCAGGTTGGCCTTCCGGCAGCTGCAGCCCCACGTCCAGCGGCACTCGGCCGGAAGTCCATCGGCTGCGAGTCCAGCTGCCAAGCTGCCAAGCAACCTGAAGTTACAGAAGTCGGAGCATGTCGGAGCTTGAGAGTTTTGACCCTGGGAAGATGCTATGAGACATTATGAGACGCTCATGTTCGGCAACGGAAGTTGTGGCAACCTGGAATTGGCGGAGAGGTGGTGGTCCAGCGTTCTCTGCAGTCCATTCGTACATTGTGCTGAAAACAAAGCGTGGCCCCGAAGGAAAAGAGTCAGAGCTTCAAATTCACCGACAAACTGTAGCACTTGAGGCCCGAACCATGTGCATCGAACCTTGAAAGGCTCAGGAGGTCTCCGAACTCTTGCACGATAGAACTGCAGGTATCGAACCAAATTCATGTAGGATTGGATGTGTTCACATATTGCCCACCCGACGTGCGGGGTTGTTTTAACAAGCCTTTGAAGGCGGCCAAAGCACAGTCCACGCCCACCGCGTGTCAGTCCAGGCCTAGGACTGCAGGCGAGAGCAGACAAAGCGGCCAGGGTAGCGGAATGCGGAACAGCAGGCGAGCAAAAGGAAGGCTGACAGTCTTCTCGAAATCTCTTGCAGAACATGATGTCGAACAGGATCGGGGTACGCACTTTGATGGTCTCGCTTGTGGCTTGGTTGGAGGGTTGAGCTGCCGTGAGCGGGACACGTGGGCGGCCTGCGGCACCGCCGACCTGTAAGACGATTGGCGCGGCGCTAGATGCCCCGTTCTCTGGGGACCCTGCGACAACCGGTCCAATCTTGATCTCTACAACGTGCCCATCGAATTGCCTAGTTTCAGGGTGGTGGCGTTCCTGTTGCCACAGTGGTCCTCTGCAACGTTCCGGAATTCAGCATCCGACCGGGTGAATCTTCTTGCTGCAAGGAAACATGAAACAAGTCATGCAAACTCGGAGTGCTCAACTACACTTGCCTCACTATGTACTCTGTCCTACTGTCGCTCCCCAACAGATACCAAGCCCATGTTCTGCAACTCCCGAGAGCACAGGTCAACTTCTCGCGCTCGGAAATGAGAGCAGCATGTCTGAGAGGCAGATGTAGAGTATTGTAGAGTGTTGTGAGACATTTCGACGTTCAGCTTTTCGCTGAGAAGAGTATTTGGTTCTGTGGCTCTTCGCTTGAGCGCGAATATTGAGAGAAGTTCCCCAAGCAGTGCTTGCACTATGTGACTATGGCGTTCATACGTTGGAGTGGCGGTTCAGTGGCTCTCAGATCCAGGTTGAACTCACGCCCTCCAGGTTGTAATGGAAGTTCCAGATGTTCAGGGCCAGCCTCAACACAACACAGAAGGTGCTCACCATGGCATTCGGGTTTGCAGTCTGCCCTTTCCCTTTCCCCTTCTTCCCCGCAGCTTGTCCACCCTTGTGCAGGTTCAATTGAGGGCCGCCTCCTGCGACAAGGCTCCCGATCCGAGATCCGATGCTCTGGCCACAGTCGTTCCAACGGGCGGGATGCAAAGTGACAGAGCAGCTTTCACTGAGAGCATCAGACAAAGCAGCTGCTATGGACCGGAAGCTAGTGCAGGTAGGATGGCGCACGCATACCTACTATCGTTGCTCGGGGCACGTTTTGCACATGTTGATACTGTGGGCCAAAATCGCGGTAGTGAACGACCTTTGTCAAAGCTTAGGCTCTGCTTGAAAACTGGTTCTTTGTTGGATGCAACGACCGGGGCCCAACAGACATGCTGAGTCCCAAGGCCCGTATACTTGATAGGGAAGGAGAGCGATCTCCACAACATGGGCGGCAGGCAGCCGCTGTCGACACCACAACGACAACAAGGGTGTTATCTTTGACACAACATTCTGAGTCTGCTAAGCAGGCAGCCGGTCCACACGTGAAAATGCAGAGATATGGAACAAGCTTGCATGCTAGCACATTGCATTTCAGGGCGTTTAGGGCGTATTGTTCCCTACTGAGTTCAATGAGTGCTGGGATGGAGGCTTGCACCCATGTCTTCGAACTGAGCGGAGGACCCAGGATGCGACAATCATTTGCAGCACCAAGCGCCCGTCGGAGAAATGCTGCCGGTGTAGTATCAGCCGCTCCGCACCTCGAAAAAATCGCGCTGTGACTAGTGAGCAGACGTGGCCTGTACGGCCGGTACTTAGACATTGCCTGCATGTGTGGTCCGCGAGCATATTCTTTTTCAGGCGCTGTGTAGCTGGTTACAAGAAAATCCCTCACAGCCTCCAGTCGGTGTTATGGTGGCATCTTCGGAGGCAGGACGGGGAGCCTGCCACGCAAATCAATGCAGATGCTGCCAATGAGCTGGCCACGCATACCTCGGCTTTTTACACAGGACTTGCAGCTTTGTACAAAAGTTTGCGATGCCTGGGGGGCAGCCATGTTCGGGCAGGTTGAAGATGTGCCGTTGGATGACTCACCGCAAGGCTTCCGTGTTGGCAAGTGTTATTTTGTCGTCGTGTAGCTGAGCCTCAGCTTCATGGTCTGCAAGGCACAGCACTTGCGCTGCCAGTGCCAAACATGGGCCCGCGGCTGCCAGTTGTTGTAGTTATTCCTCCTGAGGCGGGGCGGGGCGGAAATGGTCGGAGTGGATCGGGCATCGGACGCAACATCAGTCTACGTTGGGCGACCCCGCGCAGTGCCGACCTCTATTTGACACCGCAGACAAGACGTTATCAGAGTCACGACCAAAACCTGTGTGGCGTTGTTCTCCGAAATCAAAGGTCGGCTGAGCATGCCTGTGTCGTCTTTGCGCCCTTAAGACGCCTGCAGCATGCTTCTGGCGCATGCATGCAGTGCAGCAACATCCCTTGCCGATTCGTTGGGTTGTTGTTGGAGACGCCGGCTGACAGTCATTAGCCGGTCAAAATGTTCCGGAACTGGTTGTTTTTCAAGTTTTCTGGCACTAGGTGTAGCTCGTTGCCGGTGAATTTGCAAATCTGTCTCCACATCAAAGTCTTGGATAGCGTAGGCAGCCGTCACATACTACAAGCATCAAGCAGCCGAAAGCATCATGGCCACCAGGGCAAGCCGAAGCACCAAGTGGGCAAGCTAGAGTGCCGTGGAGGAGAGCTGACACTCACAGTGATTCACGAACGGCATTGAATTCAAAGCCGAAATAGCCAAACCCTGACCCCAGAGCCGCAGTAAGTCAGCAAGGAGCAGGAGCTTCGAGAAGCAGTGGGCCAAGCTTTGATGGCTCAAGGCTCAGATTTGCAGATATTATTGCGTTAACATGCAGAGGCCGTCAAGATTCAAATCGAGCACGAAGAGGCGCAGGTGGGTACCGCGCTTAGTGCTCTGTGATCATGGCATTGCCCTGCGCACTCCCGGAGAAGGCTGAAGGGCATGTTCTTACGGCCCAGTTTTGTCGAAGTATTGATCTTGTTATTCCATATGTTGACGAATGGTTTCCAAGAACCCAGCAGTCGGTTCGTCGAAAAATGTGTGTGGTGTCCAACTTACCAGGTTTCAGTACTCTTGGGTTGGGAAGTCATGAAAGCAGTTGCAGAGCACCCTTGCTTCATGATGCTTCATGTGTGTTTTTGTTTGAACCAGGTTGCAGTCTCTTCAACGTGCTCTCTTGGTGCTGCCTTTCCAAAGACACGAAAGCGTGGGCCCCACCTTTTGCTGGGAGCGGAGAGTGTGCAATGCATTTTTCGTGGCCAAGGTCACGGCCTCGTAGCACTGTCACTGGCTATGAGCCCTCGCTGGAACCATGTCAGCGTCAGACTAGAGTCATTTCACAGTTCATACTGCCCGGCAAAGTTTTCTCCTCGCTCGTGCTTCGCTGTTACTCGAGGTCGTTCAGCTGGTTAGTGCGGACCTGTTTGAAAACAGTGCTGGGTGCCGGCGTGTAGCATTGAAAACCCACAATGCGCTTCTGGCTTGGACCTGCGCAAACACCAACTGTTTGAAGCTGGCATGGGACCTCGACGTCGCGCCCAGACGTCTAGACTTTGGAGTCTTGTTACTGTTTAATCGCAGAGACTATTTGCATCTATTTGCATCTGCAGTAGTGCATTTAGAGTCTTGGGTGCATCGGCCTCCAAGAAGGCGTGTTCTCAGCGAACCATGCTGCACGTGCCCAATGGGTCAAAAGTGAAACAAAAGTCTGGAAGATGCCTTTGGAAGTGCTGGCGCATGCTGACGTGCCATGTATTCTCACAGAGCATGAGCTGGCTTTATGAAGATACCAAGAACAGAGCCTTCTTGATCAAGTTGAGATAGCAAACCAGCTGCCCTGTACACGTGCGGTTCTCAGTGTCCTGCGCTGTAACGAAGGCAGTTCCCCCAAGCGTGCTGAACTTTGCGCTCGAACCCTTTACACCCGAGCTGAGACTCACTGCTGCCACTTTGCTTACAGAAGCCAAATGCCCGCCAGCGAGCTCCCAAGAAGTGTCCCAACGTCAACAGTGTTGCGCCCGTTTGCAGCAGAACGTGCGTGATCAGCCCATCACCCTTACGTGTCCCCCAGATGGTGGAGCCCTGGGACTTGGGGGCCTTGTCATCTTGTTGCTCTTCTTCGCTTCATTTTTTGCTTCTGCGTCGCACGGCTTTTGCCGTGCTTCCACGAGTAGTCAGCAGCGGCAAAAGAAAACATAGCAAGTTATAGTAGTAGCGCCAGAAAGAGTTAAAGCAATGGTAACAGCGATAGCACGAGCAACCAGTACCAACATCATCCAGCAGCAACAGCAGTACTTTATTGCTGTTCCTATTCCCGTTTTGCAATCGTGACTGGGGTAGGAATCAGATTAACAGCAAATATGCATAAGTGCGCACGAAGACTGGTACGTCTACAAACATTGATGTGTCGCGGCAAAGTAAAAACAACTGGTGCAATACATATCAGTGGTGCTGGCAGTTGTAGTCGTAAAAAGTAGCAGTTGTTGAGAATAGGATCAGTGAGGAGTAGACATTAGACAGTCAGGCAAACAGTGAACATAAAACATTGACCCGCAACCTGTGCACAGTAAAATGCAAATAGAAACCGTCAAGAAAGCCATATTTGGGATCTGAGTTTTCCTGTCTGCATGGACGTCAGTTCCAGTGTGATGCGATAGCGCTATCATCGCCGTCGCCGTTGTTGCTCGTTCATTCGCGAAAGTTATAACTCCAAGGCCATGGCGAGACCCGACTTGGATGCCATGACACTGGAAGAGCTGTATGCTTACCTCGAGTCCTTGCGAGCGAAGCGGAGACAGCGGGAACAGGACTGTGCACGGCATCGGTTGTAGGAACTTGCGCCCGAAGTCCCACAGAATGTTGCCCTCATATGCCCTCATTATAGGGAAGGACCCGCCTAATTTTGAGACATCAGCATATGACTCGTATCATGATTGCTACCATCCATGCTCATTGTTGCTTCAATTGTTGTTCTTCTTGTTGTTCTTCTGATTCTCAATACTGCAGCACTTCTACAACATGTCTACTATTACTACCATTCCGAAGATGATGGTTGATGGGGAAATGAGAGCATGACTGGCAGGACCAGCGAGAGAAAGCCTTGCCCTTGGGTGTCATGGGTTGTTCTCCACGTGGATGGGCTGGAAGTTAGCTCGCTGTTAATCGTTGTATTTATGTGGCAATCGGGGTACAGTAGGGGTGGGCCCTAGAATTACAAGCATAGTATTTGGGTTCAAGAATTCTCGGCCCATTCAAGCACTGGCTGGGCCCGTGCTTCTGAACCGGCACAGCTCTTTGTGTTGGACCCTCAGGCCCAGATCTTTTACAACGTTATCCGTTCGTGGGCAGTGTCCTCAAAGCTGCGTTGTTGAATTACGAGTTCTTCGCATGTTATGCCATGGCTCAGGTCAGAGACTTTGCCGATTCATGGACATTTGGATGTTACAGTTGCTGTTGCGATCCTGCGCGCTTCTCGGGTGGTATCCTAACTCTATATTGCGCTCATTGTTGCTGAGCAGAGGCAAGCCACGTGCATCCTGATGATGTGGCTGTCCCCTGATGCTGCTGGATCAGCCGCGGACATGGCCTGGTTGGTCTGACGACAATAAAAAATGCCACGAGTATCCATAGCTATAACCAAAATGATCCTAATTGTCCGAAGAACCTCGTAATACAGAATAGTGATCAGCAAGCAGCCGACAGCAGTGGTAATGCAAACGGTTGTACCCATGTGCCAGGCGATGCCCGGCGGAGGCCGTGCTGAAGCGAGGAGGCCAAGCTGTCGGCACTTTAGGGCAGCGCAAACAGATGTAGGGGGAGAGGAAGCCTCGATGCATTCCATCATAGCCAGGAGTACGTATCATCCACAACTCCTCACCTCTCTGCCGGTATGTGTTCTTACCCTTTGAGGCTCGCACTCGTCAAGAGACCGAAGGAGGCCAACAAGACCCCGATAGAGCCCGCTCTCTAAAGCCTTGAAGCCCCTTTTGACAGCCCAAGTTCTCTGGGCTGTCCGTGAGCCCCGTTCACCTTAGACATGCTCAAAATGAAATCCTGAAATCCTAAGCCTTCAAACCCCAAGACCCGCAAAACCTTGCAAGCCGAAAGGAAGGTGTTAGCGGAAACAACCCGTAGCCTCGAGCCTTGACGCGAGTCCCGGCAAGTTCAAGTAAAGATGTTGCCATTTATGCCAGGCGTGGCGCCGAGTCCTCGAGAAAAATGCGGAGGCTCAGCCAGAGACCAAGAAAAGCGAGAGTGGGGCGTGGAGGAAACACCGCGATTTGTGATGCTGTGATGTGCTTGATGATGTTTGACTGGACGTGTTTTGATTGGTCTGTTGTGAATTCCTCTCGACTCAGATGTGGATGAATGTGTGCCGACCCTGGCCAGCCCCTCGTGGTGTCAGCATCTGCCTCCTGTGACTCCGTCTTGTGTATGCAGCCCTGACAGGTCTATGCATTGGGTACAAGGTCTTCGAGTCAACGCAGAGTCCTTAACCTGGATCCCGCTTGTGCTGGCAGCGACTTCGGTTGGGAGCTCTGTGTTGCTGGCAGCATTGCGGCTGTGGAGCACATGCAGATCATGGGCACAGTCGATGCCTTGGGTGCCTCTGACTTGACCGCGCGCTGGCTACAACGCTTCTGGCCACTCCTGCATGAGCCTCTCGCAGCTGTTCAGCTCACCTTCGGCACATTTGCCAGCAGCCATCGTGCTGCTGCGAAGTACTGCTTGATGAGGGGAGTGCAGGCAGGCTTGACTGCTGGCCTCCCACTCGCAGGACGTCTCCTTCCCTACATGTTCTTCGATGTCCAGACCTATTCGGAGGCAGTTGCGTGGCGGGCCGCATCCACATCCGCTGCGGTTGTTGCAGATTGTTGGTGAAGAAGAATGTCGCAACTGGGCTGGAAATGTGGGCAGGGGTTCAGGGACATCACGACTAGCAAAGGTTGCAGCCGGAGAAAGTATGAGAACGTCATACAAGGGCCCACCCGACCTTCATGTCAGTTAAAATTGCAGGCTGTGGTGCTTCCTGCCAGCATTGACCCTGGGCAGCTTACCAATCTCCTTGGTCCCGACGAGCAGCTTTTGGCGTCCCGATCCCTGCTGGATGCCTTGGAGTTCCGGCCACTCGGCCTCCGTCCAGGTGGGCAAGCGATGGTAAGCTATGGCAAACTAATTCGGCTGCCGGTTTGACAGTCCGCTTCCACCATGTTTTGGCCAACTTTCGATGCCATGTGCGACAGGGAGGTTCGTGGCGAGTGCGAGGATTGAGAATCTGCAGGTCTGCGAAGTACCTGACAGCGAATTACCAACCCAACCGAGCCTCATCTTCCTAAATCACAGAGATGCAACCAAGGTTCTGGCCTGTGCAGACGAGTCCAATGCTGCATGAAATCCTTCCTGAGGGTGCGGCTTGCCAGTTCGATCTCCACGTGACGGGCTTCCTGGAGCGCGTGAGGGCGTCTGCTTTCAGGTTCTGTTTGCTGCTTAGTGAAGTTGGCCACTGTAGTTGGCGCTTTTGCAGACCTTCTGTGTGTGGGTGCCAATGTCACGAGAGCCAGACAGCAGCCGAGTGAAGGTAAAAGAAGGCGAAAGCCGAGCCAGAATTGGATGAAACCGAGAGGAACCTGAAACGAACATCCCCGAATTCCTTCTCGAAGGCCCGACAGGACGTGAGGTCTTTCGTCCAGTGCAAACACGCACGCCTCTGTCGACTCATACATTATGGACAGCATCGTCACGGACCTTCGCGTCGCGCTGGTCCAAATCATTCCAATCAAAGCTTCTCAGCCCTCGAGGGTCTTGGTGCGAGCCGCGGGCAAAGCATCTT